TATTAAAGTGAGCCGAATAAGCCGTGTACCCTGTTGAACCCACCAAATATTTTAGTGTTGTCATTTTTTTATTGGTGAAAGAGCAAGGCCAACAGCGATTTTAATGTTATTCTCTTTTATCTTATTCAGCTCCCTCAACAAAAATATATTCTCATAGCTTAATATAATCACCACCTCACTCCTCTAAACTTTAGACTCAATATTAGCCTGAGAAATCCGGATCCAACTCAGTGAGCTCTCTTTGTCCCAAGTCCTCGTGGCCCATAAATGTAACCTCTAGGACAGTGTTACAAAGAGTGGTATCTTTACACCACCTGCATTCTTGTCACCAAACGTGTAAGTTAAAAATTCAGATTCTGAGCACGGTAGCTCACACCTGTAATCCCAGCACCAAGGTCAGGAGTTCGAGACCAGCCTGGCCAACATGGTGAAACCCTGTCTCTACTAAAACTACAAAAATGAGCTGGGCATGGTGACAAGCACCTGCAATCCTGGCTGAGGCAGGAGAATCACTTGAACCCAGGAGGTGGAGGCTGCAGTGAGCTGAGATCACACCATTGCACTCCAGCCTGGGCGACAAAGTGAGACTCTGTTTCAAAAAATAAAAATAAAAAATTTCGGATTCCAGGAGCCAACCCTACACCTTCCTAATTAGAATCCCAGAGGGTGGGCCCTAGGAATCTACATAATTCAAAAGCTTCTCAGAGCTGTGGTACACAGGAAACCATGAGAATCTTTGTTCTGGGAACTTCGGAGAGCTTGGCTGGGGGCTACCCCAGGATTTGGTAGAGTCCCTGAATCTCCTATTAGCTCTGACACTGACAACACTTCAAATATCATAGAAGGCAAGCACTGAAATGTGTTTATAGTTCTCAGAAATATTAATAATTTGGGATTCAGAGTTAAAGAGAAGACAGGAACTGAATTTGGCCCCTGATCTGTTATCATTTTGCAGTAAGGTGCATATTCAACATTAGGATAATCCCATGTAAGCCCTAAATCTGACCTTCTTTCATCTTTCACACTGACCACTCTGTCCATAAACGCAGGATTAAATGAGGAACTAAAATCCACCAAGAACCTGCTAGGTGCCAGGCACAGTGCTAGGTGCTTTCCACACACACCTCTCATTTAACCAGCCACCTATGAAATTGATATGATTTACCACCATCTAATGGAAGAGGACATTCAGGGCACAAGAGTGTAAATAAGCTGCTGGTTGGGTAGATTCCGCATTAATAAATAATCAGATGGGTAAATTAGGCAGTTACGTAAGCTGCCAGATTAGTAAACTGCTAGTTTCAAATCCCAGCTCCATCTGGGATTTGCATGTTGCATGACCCTTGGGGAAACTCAACCTCTGAGTCTCATAGCACTGCTGATCAAATGGAAAACATTGTCTCACAAGGTTCTGAGGACTAGAGACAGACCCAGGCACACAGAGCACCCAGGACGAAGCCTGGCCTTCAATCAGCAGTAGTGAGTCTCCACTCTCCTCTCCACTCCCTTCCTGCCTCTGCATTCAAAACTTTTTTTTTTTTTAATGTAGGAGCCTCTTTGCTTAGAAACCTGAAAAGGCTTCTGTTACTTTATTTTATTTATTTTTTTGAGATAGAGTCTTGCTTTGTTGCCCAGGCTGGAGTGCAGTGGCACAATCTCAGCTCACTACAACCACTGCCTCCCAGGTTCGAATGATTCTCCTGCCTCAGCCTCCCGAGTAGTTGGGATTACAGGCACCCTCCACCATGCCTGGCTAATTTTTGTATTTTTAGTAGAGACAGGATATCACTATGTTGGCCAGGCTGGTCTCAAACTCCTGACATCGTGATCCGCTCACCTCAGCCTGCGGAGTGCTGGGATTATAGATGTGAGCCACTGCGCCTGGCCAATACTTTATTTATTTATTTTTCAACCTCTGCGAGCACAAAACAGGCTTCTGCTCCTTTAAATAACTTTGACAGGTGCCAAGGAACACTGTTAACTCTTTCTTAATTCTGTAAGTTCACATTTAGGAAAAAGAAATTGTCAGCCTCTGACTTCTTTCCAGCTTACAAAAAGGTTGTGGTGTTGGCAGCCTGGGAGAAGCAGCTCCCTCCCGTGAGTCATGCTTCTAGCCAGTGAAGAACAGGAAACAGTCATATCACTATTGCCAACAACCACCGCGAGTCTCTTCCAGCGCACGGCTTTCCCAGATGACATCAATGAGCAGAGCGCAGAGCATCACCCTCACCAGATGGCCCTGGGAGACTCTCAGCTGCCGAGCCAAGTTTGGCTTTTCAAGTTCCCCAGAACCAGCATGGCAAGGATCACCCCGCCAGAAAAGAAAATGATTTCTCCGATCATGATCAAGCCATGTCATGATTTTAGTTGCAGGTGGTGAGTATCAGTGACTGTACTATAAATGGTTTTGGTTCACAGCTATTTTTTTCTCTGTGTATTTACTCTCAAAGGCAACGGGGTAGCATTTATCACAACATTATGATTCACTCTACTAGACTGGCTGTGATGTCATTTCATCTTTGAGTGCTAGAACTAAGGTCAAAGGGATGTCAGAATTAGACATCCAGAGTTAGATGCATGCTCTGCGCATCCTGGTAATCTATCCTGGACAGTGGCCACTACACAAGCTGCAGTGATGACTGCTGATGCTAGTCAACTGACTTGTTCCCCTTTTAATAATCCGTCATCTGCACAGACATGAATCTAAACCTTTTTTTCGAACCTACCTTTTTCTTACTAGTTTTCTTACATATTTTGGAGTGACACGTTCCCTGGTTACGATACCCAATGTGTGAAACACTAATTGCATTTATTGGTCCTAAATACATTCCTAAGTCTAGGATTTGGGGATTCTGTGCACAAATCCACTTTGTTTCTGCTCATGTTGTTCGTGACTTTATGGATTCTGCTTACATTTCCCCCCAAAGCCTTGGTCTTTCTAAACAGAAATCTGACCAGCCTCTGTTCCCACCCTGCCTCCTCCACCACCTTGACTGTTCACACATATGCTGTTGTGCGGAAAGCTTTTCGTTAAACACACAAACAAATCAACAATAAGGAAGAAAACAGCTGAAGCACAGGACGGTTTTAGCCTGGACTTATGCTTGTTGAACGGTAATCATACCATCTGGTGAGTTGTCTAAATACAGAGGGAGACAGCACCTTTACAGGATGGGTTTGGAGTCTGAATTAAATAAACGACTTGGCAAAAGGAGGAAGAACCCAACAGCTGGTGACCAGGGTTTCTGGGATTCTACTCAACACTTCCCACGCCTACAGGCCTCTGATTCTATCCCCACCGCTGCTCCTACACCGTCTATTTTTTCCTTTTACAACAAATAAAACAATAGTGCTTGTTTATTATTCACAATTATTGAAATAAATCTCTCTAACTTGGATTCCTCTATATGAGAACTTCCATATACTTAAGTTCCTGTGGCATCTCCATAGTGTGCAGATAATCAATATGTTTTCTGAAGATGGGCAAAGTAGGTCATCAAGACAGGAAGTGAGTTCAAATCACACCATGAGTTAACAGCAAGAGCATATGAGTTCAGGGGCCAAATATGAGCTCTGATGGCTGTGACACAGTTCTCACCTTCAGAGATGGCATTTTCCCAGAAGTCCAGGGTGCAGAAATGGATAGGCTGATGTTCACTTTTGAAGAGGACCACAGTGGAACCCTTTTAATAGTACTTAATGGTGTCACAGCTTCCTGGGTGTTAAATCAGGTGAATCTATTTTTAAAAGTTGCTATTTACTTTTTTAGGTGGCTGATCAAGACAGTGTGAAATTTCATACAGTTTCCTAACTTGAGAAAACATGACGATGCGATTCCTCCAACCACGAGGGATTTGTGGACAGCAGTGGCTACGTCCTAATCTGCCCTGAATACAGGATGACTAAACAAATTGGCAGAAGGACACAGCTTTCTCTCTCTCTAAGAAAAGTCTGCTGAGAACTCTCATTCTCACACTGTTTCTACCTCCAAGAAGAAAAGCCTAAAACTTGCTTTCTTCTGGACTCTCTAAAGGTCAGTGGGGTTCCTTCCGATGGGGTTCTATATTCAGATACTTTGGGGATTGATGATGGATCATAAATGTGGCTGAAGCTCATGTGGGTCCATGGGCTCTGGTTTCAGAACTATTCAGCCAGTCAAATGTTTCATTTTCATTGAGGTAGGGGAAAGGAAACCCTCTTGAAGGTTGCTATGCAGCAGCACATACTCACAATTCACAATTAATTACACTCCAGCTTCTCTTCTAAACATATGTTACTTTAACATTTATAGAGTGCTTAGCAATTTAAAAATTTTCATTTCATGCTCAAAATATTCTCAGGAGGTAGCTGCTGTCATGACCATTTGCACAAGCTAGAAGCTGAGGCTTAAAGAGGTCATGTCACTTAAACCCAGATCTGCCTGATTCCAAAGCTTATGCTTTTTTAAAAAAAACTTCTATTTTGAAATAATGATATTAAGTCACATGAGGTTGCAAAGAAATGGAAGGTCTCATGTGCCCTTTCCCCAACCTCGTCCAATGTTGCATCTAAGAAATTGACATTGGCACAATCCAAAGAGCCTATTCAGAGTTCATCAGTTATTCACACACTTGTGTGTGTGCACGTGTGTGCAGCTCTATGCAATTTTGTCATGCTTTTTATACATGAACCATTCACTGTTCCACCAATTTTAAATATGAAGTCAGAAATTAATAATTTTTCCTTTACTACAACAGTATCTGCCAATAATTACATACACAACCGAACAGCTTTCATTTCTAGTTGCCATTAAGAAGGAAAAAAAGGGAGAAAAGAAACAAAACCTACAAAGACCAGTTTTTAAAAGTATTAGTCTGTGCTATGCGCCTTGATGGGCTCATCTTCTGGAGGTGACAATAGGCACACATTAAGGGAACACAACTTGTTGATTTATTGATAATTAAGACAGCAATCTTCTCTCTTGTCAGAAAGTTCTATAAGTAAAATAAAGATAATTTTACCTTGACTCCCAAGTTAGTCTCACGGTCTTGCTTTCCCCAGGAGTTCAACTCTGCCTCGGTATAAGGTTCCTCGGAAGTTCTCAGTGGAGGAGCTAGAGGGACGAAGAAAACCTGCCATTAATTTGGTTATTCGACTTATAAATTATAACTCACTTTGTCTGACTTGGACAATTGTCAAGTCAACGTGGTTAACTAAAACAAGCCCAGCTGAGCTGCTGAGTTGATTTCCTAGGTGGTGGATGAAACTGGAGGTGAAGGAGAGACACAGAAAAGAAACAGAATCCTTGACTGCAGGGACTTGACATTTCAGCAGAAGAGAAAAAAGTCTCACCCAGCACCACACGAAACACCAAACTACAACAAATCAGTAAATATAGTAATGTGGTAGCAAAGAGCAGTAGAGTTTCCATCATTCCCATTTTTAAGGCCCAGCTAAGAGGCTACTTTCAGCCAGGCTTGGTGGCTCACACCTGTAATCCCAGCTTCTTGGGAGGCTGAGGCAGGAGAATGGCTTGAACCTGGGAGGCGGAGGTTGCAGTGAGCCAAGATTACACCACTGTACTCCAGCCTGAGCGACAGAGCGAGACTCCATCTCAAACAAACAAAAAAAGGGCACATTCCTCATGAAGTCTTCCCTATGGATAGGGAATCCCAGCGTAGGAATCCCAACGTTATGGATTCTCCTATATACTGCTGCTTTGGCACACATCATGTGTACAGCATAATTTTGCACTTGATGTTGTTCTTGGTTTGAAGACTCAATTCTAGGTACCACATTGTATTGAAGATATTTTCCATTATAAAGGTAATAATTTGTGCTTATTACGGAAAATCTGAAAAACACTAAGATCTTAACACTGAAGCATAATCACTTGGTATATTTCCTTACAGTCTTCTTTTGAATGCTCTCCCTCTGTTTACACACATACATGTATACACGCAATCATACTATGATTATATTGTAAGGGGATGGCCATGCCTGCCCTAGCCAGAAGTTGTTGCAGCTAATCTGATGGTGTCATCATTGGATTCTACTACTGACGGACTCATGCTTACCAGTGGATGGGAGGACTATGAGTTAGAATTGGGTTGGCTGAGTCAGGAAGAGACTGGGCTGTCTTGCCCTCGTGCCTTTCTCTCAGTTACTCTATCTCCCTTCTCCCCTCCCCATGAGGGCCTAGACACCTGGGAAACATCTTTTCTCAAGTTCTGTGGCCATTTGGTAGTAAAAGCAGGACTTGAAGAGGAGAAGCCCTGGTTAGGCCTCGAGGTTTCTTAACCCACCTTACCAGCTTTGCCAAGCACTGAGGGTGACGGCCATAAGGCTAACAGATAAGCGGTACTCTGAGTTCCAATTTGTCACAGTCACCACCCTTGTATATGCTATTCCCTTGGGAAACTCACAGGATTTGAGGATTTCTAGGTCCCAAGGCCAAAATGCCATTTGTCGAATGCCATTGAGATATCACCCTGATTCTTAGCTATGGTAGACTTGATGGAGGTTGACCATCTGACCTCCAGAGGACCCTCCCAACCTTTGCATTCTGTGAGCCAACTGGAAGCAGCTTGGGCTTTCTGTGGGTTTTCATAGATGTTATGTTGAAAATTGTAGAAAAGCGTGGTGGCTCACACCTGTAATCCCAGCACTTTGGGAGGCCGAGGCAGGTGGATCCCCTGAGGTCAGGAGTTCAAGACCAACCTGGCCCTCGTGGTGAAACCCCGTCTCTACCAAAAATACAGAAATTAGCTGGGTATGGTCACGGGTGCCTGTAATTCCAGCTACTTGGGAGACTGAGGCAGCAGAATTGCTTGAACTAGGGAGGCGGAGATTGCAAGGAGCTGAGATTGAGCCACTGGACTCCTGCCTGGGCAAAAAGAGTAAAATTTCATCTAAAAAAAATAAAATAAAATTGTAGAAAAGTACACTGGCACCCCAGGTTACATATATGACCATTAATGCTGCTGTGTCATAACAGACAATCCTTTGGGCTCCTCCCTCTCTGTGGAATCTATTACGTGATTCCAGGCATAGTAACTAGATGTTAGAAATGGCATGCACTATTGCTGGTGACGCCATGACTGAGAAGTGCCTGCCCTTGACACTGTAAGTAGAGTGAAGGAGTGAAAGGCAGGGGTACAGATGCCACACGACCAGTGTTCAAACCTTGTTTTTCCATGCACGAGCCACACATGATCACAGCCAGCTCTGTGCCTTACCCTCTTCATCTGTAAAGTAGGGAAAAATGAGAAGTCCCACAGTAAAGGGCTGTTATGAGGCTTGAATGAGTTAATATGTAAAGAATGTGGATCATATACAATGCATAACACATTTTAGCTATTATTATAGCCACATGGCATTAAAAAGCTTTTTCACATTCCTTATGAAAGTCAGAAGTGTTAAAAGTTATAGCCAAGGCATCCAGCTAACAAGAGTTGGAGCTGACATTCCAGCTCTTAAGCCCCTCCACCCATCTTCTTTCTTTACACTGTGAAATACCATTGCTTATCTTGGCACAGACTCAGTTACTAAGGAATCAGATAAAAATGTTTGAAAATTCTTTTAGTGACTTGCTGGAGTCCACGCTCAGTAGATACTCGCCAGAAACAAAAGTGCAGGATTGTTCTGCTCAACAAGGTAGTTGTCTGACTTAGGTCACTGACAACCTGTTCAGACTTGACGAAGGCCTGTTTATTCCGGGAAGGAGTATTATCTATTATGAAATCTTGTATTTGAAAAGCTATAATTCCTGCTTTATTTACCTGAAACAAACATATGTGCCTTGAAAGAATGACTGAGGCCAAGTCACAGATGTGAGCATAGTTGAGCTTGAGGAAAGATGAAAGGTCAAGAGAACCAAGCTCTGTTTCCAACCATCTAAGAAGGATGCCTCTGTGTATGTTTGGTTATGTCTGTGGTATATGCATATGGGTTAGAGTGTATATGTGGATGTGTGTGTGTTTGCAGACAAAAGTTTAGGAAAGAAATATACTAAATGTTATCAAGGCTTCATTCTAAGGATTCTAGGATACATGATGGAAGACAAGGAACTGTAAACTATACTAAGTGGAGAACTAGCAAAACACCCCAGAATTTCCCAATAAGCAAAAAATGGAAGAATATATTGCTAACAGGCCAGGCATGGTGGCTCACAACTCTAATTCCAGCTCATAGGGAGGCAGAGGCGGGAGGACAGCTTGAGCCCAGTTCAAAACCTGCCTGGGCAATATAGCGAGACACCATTGTCCACAAAAAGGAAAAAATAAAGACAAAAACAATTTGTTACTAATAGACTCCCCAACAATAAATACTAACAGAAGCTCTTTATTCTGAAGAGAAATGACACAAAGTATTAATTCAATCTATCATAAGGAATGAAGAACCCCAGAAATGGTGAATAAGGGGGTATGTACACACACACACACACACACACACGTATTTCTCTTAATTTGATATATGACTATTTAAAGCAAAAATTATAATGCCATGGGGGGATTAACATATATAGATGTAAGATTCATAATAAGAATAGCACAGAGGATGGATGGGGAGCATACGGAAGTACAACGTGGTAAATTTCCTATATTCTGCATACAGTGGTATGAAACTAACTCAACAGATCATAACAAGTTAAGGACGCATATGATAATCCCTAGTCTGGGTGAAAAGCAATGCAAAGAGATATGATAACAAGCCAACAAAGGAATTAAAACAAAATATTAAAAAATATTTACTAACCCAAAAGGCAGAAAATGAGGAAAAGAGGAATAAAAAGCACATGAGACATACAGGATATCAAAACAGGAGCTCGAAATCCAACTATATCAATAATTATGTAGGATGTAAACATAAAAATCTCATCACTCCAATTTGTAATTGGGCAGAGGTAACAATGTATAAAAAGGTAAGGCCCAACTATATGCTGCCTACAACAAATATACTTTAAATGCAAAGACAGAAGAATGAGAAAAATATATTGTACAAACTCTAAGCGTGAGAAAACTGGAATGGCTGTGACAATATCAGACAAAATAGACTTTAAGAGTATTTCTAGAGATAAGGAGGAAAGGAGAGACATTTCATAATTACAAAAGGGCTAATATATATGATAGACATAAAAACCATGAATGTGTATTTGCTTAATGACAGAGCTTCACAATACACAACACGACAAATGACATGTACATTCTGCCCAAGGCCAGTTATTCCAAGAACGTCAAGTTGTTTTACCATTTGCAAACAAATCATTGTAATTTACCATATTAACAAATAGAGAAGAAAAACCATATCAGAATCTCCATACATGGACCAAATAAACATTTGAAAAAGTCAATAATCATTTACAATAAAAACTCTAAAAAAAAATAGAAATAGAAAGGAATTTCCTCAATCTGATAAAAGACATCTGCAAAAAGCCTATAGCTAACATCATACTTAAAGGTGAAATGTGAACTCTTTCCCTAATACTGGGAAAAGACAAGGATGTCCGCTCTCAGCAATTCTAGTTGACGTTGTAGCAGAGGGCCCAGTCATTATAATATGACCAAAAAAAGTATAAAGATCGAAACAGAAAAAGTAAAAGCATCCCTATTCACAGATGATAGGATTATATTTCTACATAGAAATCTATTCCTATTCTTAATTATATATGGCAAATTCCATTCATTATAGGGTTAAAAAATGTGAAATGCCTAAGGCCTTTGCACTCAAAACTACTGCATTGTTGAGGGAAATTAAAGATGACCTAAACAACAAGTTCTAACCTATTCATGAATTGGAAAACTCTGTATTTGTAAGATAATAGTTCTCTCCAAATTGGCTCATATAGTCAGTATAATCCCTATCATAATCCCCGCAGAAATTGAAAGGTGATTCTAAAATTCAAGGAAAAATGAAAAGGAATTAAAATAGCCAAAACGACGTTGAAAAAGAACAATGTTGGAACACTACATGACCTGGTCTTTAAGGCTAACTAATAAGCTACGGTAATCAAGACCCTGTGGGACGAGCGTTAAGAACTTACCTCTTTTTTAAAATCTTCTCAACCAATTTTACTATTCCACTGCTAATAAAGTGTGGGCCTTCTAAAGGTCCTAAATAAGGTCTGTTTTTTTGCTGTTATTACTATGCTGTTATTATTATGAAGCATTTTTATTTTATTTGCTTTTTGAGACAGAGTCTCACTCTATTGCCCAGGCTGGATGGAGTGCAGCAGTGCGATCTCGGCTCACTGCAAACTCTGCCTCAGGTACAAGCAATTCTTCTGCCTCAGCCTCCCAAGTAGCTGGGATTACAGGTGTCCGCCATCACGCCGGGCTAATTTTCGTATTTTTAGTAGAGACGAGATTTCACGATGTTGACCAGGTTGGTCTCAAACTCCTGACCTCAGGTGATCTGCCCACCTTAGCCTCCCAAAGTGCTGGGATTCAGGCGTGAGCCACCGAGCCCAGCCTATGATGCAAAAATGCAATAGTGAAAATACTATTCCTTCAGTAGATTGTGTGTTTCTCCCTGCATCCAGGCACGTGCTGTTATCTAAGTGTTCATGTCATCCATGTCTGCGCTATGTCCTATATGTCTGTTTTAATAGTGTCTGTTAAAACAGTGACCATTATCCATCATAGACAACCAGTCTCAGTCCTCATGGTGCTGATGAAACACAAAAGCCACAGAGCTGCTTTTCCTGAAATAACGTACCCGAGGTGGGGGGCTGGCTGGTTTTTGATGACAACCATTTTGGTGACGACTCAGGATGTGGGGCCACAGGTTGCACTGGACGAGTCTGTTTGGCTGCCAGTTTCATCAGACTCACTTGCCTCTTGTGAAATATTTCCTGCACATCGCCCAGCCTCTGCAGGACTTGCTGGGCTTTGGCCTGCAGTAATGAAAGCAAATCATGATGAAAGTGTCTCTCCGCATACAGCCTGAGGACACAAAGCATTTCCTTTCTCCCACCTTCCCTACTCCCCACATCCCTACCTCCCTCAGGTGACCCCCATCTAGGCATCATTATGTAAGATGTGTCCTGCCATGCTTCAGAATTGTACTTCTAAGGATCAGCCTCTCCTACTTGAGACCCTCGAGGGATATGCATCCTTTCACTATGGCGTCTCTAGTGCCTGGAACACCCTGGCACAGGAGTTCAAGACCAGCCTGGTCAACTCAGTGAAACCCCGTCTCTACTAAAAACACAAAATTAGCCAAGTGTGGTAGCAGGTGCCTGTAATCCCGGGTACTCGGGAGGCTGAGACAGCAGAATAGCTTGAACTTGGGAGGCGGAGGCTGCAGTGAGCTGAGATTGCACCACTGCACTCCAGCCTGGGCGACAGAGCAAGACTCTGTCTAGAAAATAAAAATAAACAACCAATTAGAATACAGTGCAGTTTGTATCATGTTAGATAGAGCAAAGGCTCTTGGCCCGAGTCCATGAATCAACTTCAGAGCATTCCCCAGAATGACATCAACAGTTAAGACAGGCTGGACCCTCCCTGTTCCAGCCTGCTCCTCCACGGCATCCTCTCTCCCCTGCCCTCTGCCCAGGAAGCTAACTACAACAAGCTCCTAAAGCAGACCTCAGGTGATCTGCAGACCAGGCCATGTGGCTCACAGAGGAAGGTGATCTATGGCCAACCCTGCTGGCTTCATGGAAGAATGCACTTCACAAACTCAAATCCGATCAATTTATTCCCCTGTGTAAATCCAAACTCTTCATGTGTCCCACAAAGCCCACCTTGCCTGCCTCTCTCTGACCTCACCCCAAACACATTTCCATTGCTCCCCAGCTTCCAGCAGCCTGGCCTTTTGGTCTGCACCGTGCCAGGCTCCCTCCAGCCTGGACGCTTTGCACAGGCTGTTCCTCCTGTCTGGAAAGGCTCTCGCATCTTCTCGTTCTTCAGGCTTTAGCTGAAGTGACTCTTCCTCAGAGCCTTCTCTGACCCCGGTCCAGGCCAGGTTCCTCTGTCACATGCCTGATCCTAATCCCTCTTTGACAGCACTTAAATCAGCTTCTAACACATTTTTGTGTGATTCTTTTGTTAATGTCAGCCTCTCCCACGAAACTGTAAGCTCAGTGAGGGCTGGAAGTGTGCCTGTTTCTGTTTACCGTGGTGGCCTAGCACGCAGCACAGTGTGCGCTACATCAGGAATGCTCATAAGCATTAATAGAGAAATGACTGATTTAGGCAGACAAAGGGTCAGTGTGCCAGGATGTTGAGGCTGGGAGGCCAAGAGGCCATGGGAGGGCTTCAGAACCGGTTAGCCCTCTTGATACTGCCTGGTCAGGACACCCTGCGTATACTTTATCAGGAAGAAGGTATGGTGCCTCCCTCCCCTTCTGTTTCCCAACCACAGAATCAACCCAGAAGCATTACCTTTGCATCGAGGGTGAGTAGCAACTCAAACTCGTCGTAAAACTCCTTGGGGCTGAGCAACGGGTCCTCCTTGGCTGTGCCCAGAAATGTCGCAATGTCGTTCAAGGCGATGTCAACCCCCTCTCGAGACTGACACTTGTCTACAGCTTGGGAGGCCAAGAGGTAGATCCCTGCCTCACACCATTGACTGACCTTTAGGAAAGAAACAGTGCCCTGTGTGCTTAGCCTGACCACAACTCAGAGCCACCATCATTCTCAGCATGTCTGAGCTTGTAAGAGGTCTACAAGGATTCTGAGACAATGGGAAATTGTCATGGGACAGCATAAAGTATAAGGGGTCTAACCACAGTAAATTATACTGTGAGGTGGACAAGCCCAAACCAATTTACACCTGTTCACTTATCAGGGAAGGCACTTGGTCAGCAAAATGAGTCATACAACATTCTTCTCTCTTCCACTGACAGTAGTTGCTACATCTCCAGGAGGAGACAGCTAAATATATATTTAATTTCAGACAAGGTCTCACTCTGTCACCCAGGCTGGAGTGCAGCAGTGTGATCACAGCTTACTGCAGCCTGGAGAGGTCCATCCCAGCCTCAGGTGATCCTCCCACCTTAGCCTCCCAAGTAGCTGGGGCTGCAGATGCATGCAACCACACCAGACTAATCTTTCTTTTCTTTCCTTCCTTTCTCTTTCTTTCCTTTTCTTTGCTTTCTTTCTTTTGACAAGTTTTGGCCATGTTGCCCAGGCTGGTCTCGAACTCTTGGGCTCAAGCAATCCTCCCACCTCGGACTCCCAAAGTGCTGGGATTACAGGTGTAAGGCACTGCACCGCCCAGCCTTGTAGCTAAATAACCCTTAGGGTGGTCTGACCACAGAGCAAGGTAATGAATGGCTTTTCAGGTTTACCTGCTGGGCCACTTGTCTTGCATCCTAATTGGTTACCAGAACACAAGGTTATAAATGAGACATTAGACTTGGCCCTAACATTTCCTGGGAGAAGCGAGTGTCCCTTTTAACAAAAACACAACCTTCCTCTCTGGATTCCCAGGTGATGCCTATTTGCATTTAGTGGTGTTTGTCTTTCCTAAGGAAGCAAGAACGCAAAGCTTTGTAACTCAGCACAGCAATATTCAAAGTTTCTGGACGCTGGGAGGATGTCAGATAGGCGATGAATTCTAATTATCCAATTTATAAAAAAGATTCATGTTCGTTGCTCTTTTGAACTCCACTGAGACACTTGAACAGAAAGACAGGGACCCTTATGCCACTTGAAGAGTGATGTGAAAAGAAGCTCCCAGCATAAGCACATCTGCGTTTCATGTGACCCGAAAAGCAATATAACTATCCTGAGAAAAAACATCGAAACGGACCACTTCAAAGCAGTTATCTAAGGGGGAAAGAGGATTATATTTAAAATAAAATAAATATATCACTTACATTTAGTTAAATATTTATGATAGGCAATTTAAGGTAAATATAATAGACAACTTAAATGTTTATCTAATTTTTTCCTAGATTATTTACAGTGAATATGTACTACGTTTAGAATAATAAAAATAAAGAGATTTCAGAATTAATAGCTACCATTATGTAGGGATGTGGGATAGTGGGATATGTATGTATGTGCCCATGAGTAACCTTTTTCTTCCTGTATTTTTGGATTTCCACAATAACATGAACTCATGCTTTGATATATGCTGTGAAAACTTTACATATCATGTTTAGATCTGCAAAAGCAATAGGCCAGGGGCTTCTGTAGAGTTACTATAGCTACTTGCTTTCTCTCTCTCTCTCTCTCTCTCTCACACACACACACACACACACACACACACACACACCCCAGGCTTATTATCTCTGGAGCAGAAATGCAGTTGGGAAAACAGCAGCTGATTCCGCAGTGAGCTCAGCACACACAGCTGGCTGCGCACCAGCCCCTTCAGAGCCACTTGCTTCTGGAACAACTGGATTTCATTGATACTAAAATCCCCTTTGCCATGGGATGAGGTAAGCAGCCCAGGTGGGTGTCCCCTGCCATGTGAGAGGAGCAGCTGTGGGGATGGAGCATACTGACTCACTGCCATCAGCCACATGCTGGCTGGGAACAGCTGATGGGGAAGGCTCCAGAAACAGTGCTCCTGCTGACTGGGAACACACCCTAGAAGTCACCTCCAAACGGCACCAGTGTCTGCACACCCCTGCCCCTGCTAGGCCCCTTACATTCGGCCTTGCCGTCTATCCTGTCAAGCCTGGGTGTGGCATCTGGCAGGCCTGCCTTCAATTCTGCCTTCCCCTGTCTGCACCATGTGTGGTCTTGGGCAGTCACACATGGTTTCCTGGTGTCATCCCTGCACCACCTGCACCAGAATCACTTGGGCACTTTACTAAAATACTAGTTCCTGGACAATATTCCAGACCTACTGATGCTGAGTCTCCAGGGCGGTGCATGAGGGAATCTGCCACATAACACCTTGCTAGGTGATTCTCGAGTGCTAAACTTCCGACCCAGCAGAGCATCAACTTCTGCCTCTGCACAATGAGGCCATTAACACCTTCCTCAGGGGGTGTCTTGAGGATTATAAATAGATGACATAATTAGGTTCCTGACAGGAAGAGAGTAGGTGCTCAATAAGTGGTAGGGGGTATAAAATGGTCATTATGACTTAAGCTTCTCCAAAGAGAGTCAAACCCTTGCCTTTCCATGAGGAAGCACTCTGCAAGTATAGTGCTTGGTTCTCCGTACACCTGAAAGGAAATCAAGAAGCGTTCCCATGGAGCCAGGCCAAAACGCACTAAGCCTGGCTCCACACAGACAGACACGGGCTTTAGTTCATGCTAATGGGATGTGGTGGGACGGCCAGAGCACTTTTTACCTTCAAGGCCTCTACGACCTAGGATCTGCACAGGTTTTCATGCCCCTTGAACTTGAACTGTCACCGTCATGTAAGGAAGGGAGGACAAGTATGACAGCAGCTTCTTCACAGAAAATCCTGCAGACGTCATGTTCTTGGCTGTGCTCTGCTCACCTTGTCCAGCTGTCTGTGCAACTCCAGGGACTTTCCGAAAACATCCTGTTTTTTCTTGTTTTCATTGATGAAATCGTCACAGAGGTGCCTGAGCTCCACGCACTGGGACCTGATGGCGTCTGCTGCATCATGGTGGCTTTGGATGAGCTGGTCCCCAACCAGTGCCAGCAGCTGGGCCCTTTCCAGGGGCTCCTGCAAAGTGAACATCCACAGCCAGGCATCAGAAGTCAGGGCATCGTGAGGCTGACAGCTCCCTGGTACCCTACGCTCCAAGCCTGGAGGGAGGCGGGGGAGATGCTGACCCAGGATGAAGGCTGGGGAACCTCAGAAAGCTCTGAATGGTTCCGGACCCAGGAAGCTGAGCCTGGCCCGGAGTTGTCCACACTCTCAACAACAGCAGTCATTCATTCAAATACCTGCTGAGTTCTGGGCCAGACACTGAGGATGCAGTGTTAACAAGTCAAACACTGTCAGGTTAATGGAGAATTCAGATATTAACTGAATCACACAAATTATTAAATTATTACAATTGCAATAAACTAGGGCAGAGAAGCATGGACTGCACATCATAAGATATTCTGAATAGCCCCATTAACTACAGGAACAAGAAGGGGGACTCACACTTGCCTTTGAGGAGAGTTGGGGTGAGCTAAGGTGGAGACACTGGTGAAAACTGGGTTTGGACAACTCGAAGATGGTCATGACACTTAAGAAATATGCTTATCTAGGCCGGGTGCGGTGGCTCACGCCTGTAATACCAGCACTTTGGGAGATCAAGGTGGGTGGGTTGGTCAGGAGTTTGAGACCAGCCTGACCAACAGGGTGAAACCCTGTCTCTACTAAAAATACAATAATTAACCAGGTGTGGTGGTGGGTGCCTGTAATCCCAGCTACTCAGGAGGCTGAGGCAGGAGAATCACTTGAACATGGGAGGCGGTGATTGTAGTGATCCGAGATCACGCCACTGCACTCTAGCCTGGGTAACAGAGCAAGACTCTGTCAAAAGAAAAAACAAAATAACAAAAGAATGAAAGGAGGGAGGGAGGCAGGGAGGGAGGGAAGGAGGGAGGGAGGCAGGGAGGGAGGGAGGAAGGAAGGAAAAGAAATACACTTGTTTAAACCCCTTCCCAAGGCCTGAAAGGACCATGCCTACACTGACCCCGTCTTCACTGACCCCGTCTACACTGACCCCGTCTGCACTGACCCCGTCTGGACTGATCCCGTCTACACTGACTCCGTCTACATTGACTCTGTCCACACTGACCCTGTCTGCACTGATCCCGTCTCCACTGATCCTATCTCCACTGACCCTGTCTCCACTGACCCTGTCTGCACTGACCCTACCGTCTACACTGACCCCATCTGCACTGACCCCGTCTATACTGACCCCGTCTGCACTGATCCCATCTACAGTGACCCTGTCTACACTGATCCCTTCTACACTGACCCCATCTGCACTGACCCTGTCTGCACTGATCCCATCTATACTGATCCCGTCTACACTGACGCGTCTGCACTGACCCCCTCTGCACTGATCCTGTCTACACTGATCCCGTCTGCACTGATCCCATCTGCACTGATCCTGTCTACACTGATCCCGTCTACCCTGATCCCGTCTGCTCATCACACTTCCTCTTTCTGCATGACACTTCGCTCTAACCATGTGCCAAGTTTCCTGTTTTTTAAGCATTCCTTCATTCATCTGTCTCATATTACTGAGAACCTACTATGTGCCAAACACTGTCATAGATGCTGGGGGTTCACTGGTAAAGAAAGTAGGCAAAAATCCCGGCTTCATGAAATGAAGCTTACATTTTAATGGAAGATGGAGGCAATAAACAATTCCATGTGCAGATTATACAATATCTTCAACAGCGATGAGTATATGGAGAAAGATTAGACAGGGGAGGACAGGGAGTGCTGGAGCTAGGGTTTTAAATTGGATTGTTAGAGAAGGTGTCCCTGAGAAGGAGCTACTCAAGCCGTGCAGAAAAGACTTCTCATAGAAAGCCTGAGAGTAGGCCAGGTGCAGGGGCCGGCCTGTAATCCCGCCACTTTGGGAGGCTGAGGCGGGTGGATTGCCTGAGCTCAGGAGTTCGAGACCAGTCTGGGCAACATAGTGAAACCCCATCTCTACTAAAACATAAAAAATGAGCCAGGCGTGGCAGCATGTGCCTGTAGTACCAGCTACTCTGGAAGCTGAGGCAGGAAAATTGCTTGAACCTGGGAGGTGGAGGTTGCAGCGAGCTGAGACTGTGTCACTCCAGCCTGGGTGACAGAGCAAGATGCTATCTCCGAAAAAAAAAAGGAAAAACAAAAAAAGAGAAAACCGGAGACTACCAGCCTTAGAAAGAGCTGACTGCAAGACTGGCCCTTTGTTCACAACTAGGAACTTAAATTTTGGGACGGTTCCCTCCATTTCCTGATATGAATAGTTCACGGTTCTTGAACTGTTTGTGCAAACAGTATGGCTTATGGTGATTACCTGCTTTCCTTCCGGGAGTCTGCAAACTTGGTACTTGCCAGACAGAAGTTGCCCACATGACCAGCCACCAGTAAAAGCTCTGGGCATTGATTCTGTCATGAGCTTCCCTGGCAGACAACATTTCACACATGTTGTCACAACCTACAGATGGGGGGCAGGAATAATGTCCTGTATGACTCCCACAGGAGAGGATTCTAAGAAGCTTGTGCCTGGTTTCCTCCAGACGTCGCCTCGCATGCCTTTCCCCTTTGCTGATTTTGCTCAGTACTTTTTCATCATCATAGCTCATAACTCTAATACAGTTACATGCAGAGTCCTTTCAGTGAATCTTCAAATTTGCACATGGTCCTGGGAGCACTCTGGACACAAGCCGAGACCTGAAGTCAGGGACAAGCCGCAGGGTACTTGGCTGGGAGGTGAGGGAGCGTCTGACAAGTTTGGATAGCAGGAAGGAGGCCAGTGTGGCTGCAGCCCAGGGAGCAAGCAGGAAGTGAGTAGCAGCAACCAGAGGAAAGAGGGGGTTCCGTGGGGGAGGGCCTTGCTGCCCTTGTGAGCACTGTGGCTTTATTCTCATTGTGAGAGGAAAGGCCCTGGGTTTAGAGGGAGGATCTCACTCATGTTTTTGAAAGGACTGCTTCATGTACAGTATCCAGAGTAAGAGGAAACGTAAGAGACCTGGAGACCCGGCTGCTGCAGGAATCCAGCTGAGAGATACGGCTTGTGCCTGACTCGGGGCCCTTCTCTGGACTGCTCTTCTCTGGATTGCTCTTCCCTGGTTCCTGCAGAGCTGAGCTCCTGGGTCACCTCCTCACAGGGCTTCCCGGGCTACTGGATCTTAAGTCATGATCTACAACCCAACACCCACTCACCTAGCCCCTCTCCCTCACTTTAACTCTTTAACACACTTATCTCTGTCTAAACACTACTTACTTTAGTGTAGAATTCCTCCCTCCTCCACTCACTCCCACCAACATGTAAGTTCCACAGGAGCATTTAGTAGGCATCCAATAAATATTTATCAACAAAATGAATGAATGAGCCAACGAGCTAGATGAGGCAGGGATCTGCTTGGCTGGAACTACCCGATGCGATCTTGACTTTGGCATCAACACAGACGACTGCCACATTCCAAAAGGTCTCCAGGAGCAGAGAGCCCGTGGGCCCTCTTGCCAGCCACATTAGGCACCCAGCGCATCACATCCACTCTGCTTTAGCTGTTTGCGGTAATGTAAGGAGTCATGGCAACCTGCCCCTCTCGTCACTTGTACTGTTTATGGTTTCCACGATTTCCAAACCCCTCTCCTACCCTCCCATGCATTCACAAAGCACTCCAGGGCCCATCGCCTCTTAATGCCTTTCAGATTCTGACCCCATCTGCCACCTCCTTGCCGCTGTTGGCTCCAGCCTCATGCCTTCTCATGGGGACAGTTGGCCTCGCTGCCTTTCTCAGGTTCTCCTTCAAATCAGCCTCCAGGCAGCTGACAAAGCAGCAATCCCAACACATTAAGTTACCTCACTCCCAAACTTCACGCCCTTTCCTGGGCCCCCAAGGTCTTCAGGAACAAGCTTAAACTTTTGAGCAATGCAAACAGGGCCTTTCTTTATCTAGCTCATACCTGCGTGTGCCTCTTAACAAGTCCTCCCCCACTTCCTCAACTCCATTCTCTGCTGCCACCATACCAATGACCCATGTGTTGCTCCCCCAAATACTCAGGCAGCTTCAGGCCTCCACGCCTTCTCCATCTGCTGCCTGCCTAGAAAGCCCATCCTTCCCTACTCCCCCTCAGCCATCCTCTACCACACCCACCCTCCTCTGGGGCCAACTCCATCTGTGTCACATTTCAGGCTTCACCTTCTCCAGAAAACTTTCCCTGTGTTTCTCTTGATCAGAGCGCCTACTTCATTATGTTGTGACCATTTATCTGCTGCCTGCACGATGCCAGACCTTCATGGTCCAGAACCAGCTCATATTCAACTGAAAACAGGGCATGGTGCACCTTAGGTACTTACAAATAAATGCTGCACAAGACAGAGGGGAGTACTGGCATAGAATCAAGTGACACAAATCAAGCAGTGGCTAGTCAAAGGACTGAGGCAAAAATACACAGAGCACTTGTTCTAAACAGCAGAGGCCCAGGCACACTGGTTACCTCCCCTACAAGAAGATTGGAATACTCATTCCCTGGGCAGTAATTTTTATTTATTTTTATTTTTGAGACAGAGTTTCGCTATCGTTGTCCAGGCTGGAATGCAATGGCGCAATCTCAGCTCACTGCAACCTCTGCCTCCTGGGTTCAAATGATTCTCCTGCCTCAGCCTCCCGTAGCTGGGATTACAGGCATGTGTCACCACACCTGGCTAATTTTTCATATTTTTAGCAGAGACAGGGTTTCTCCATGTTGGTCAGGCTGGTCTTGAACTTCCAATCTCAGGTAATCCACTAGCCTCGGCCTCCCAAACCACTGGGATTACAGGTGTAAGCCATCACGCCCGGCCAGTGATTTTTTTATTCTTTGGTTCACTGCTGTGTCCTCAGAACTTAAACAGTACCTAGCATGGTAGGAAATGAATAAATGTAGAATGAATGACAGACCTTTCCCAGCACTGCTCAGCTACTGCAGACTGAACCTAGGACACGTTGCATAGCACAGAATGTATCCCTCTACCTGTGTAATACTGATAATGACAGCCAACATTCCCTGAGAGCTTACTACACACTAGGCGCTGTTCTGAATGCTTTACAACTGCTTATTACCTTAGCTCTTCACAACAAATGCTTTGATACAGGTACTGTTTTACCAATGGGAAGTGGAGGCACCATGGTCCAAGGTGACCCAGCTATGAAAGAGAAGAGCCAGGCTTCAAACCCAGGCAGTCTGGCTCCAGGATCTGGCTCAGACACGCACAGAGAAAAATGGCTGTCCTTGTTCTGCTGCAGCTCAGAGACCTCATTTGGTTGCTTGAACTTGTCTGACTTTAGTCAAATATAGAAACATGAAACTTGGCAAGAAAGTCTCTGTTGACTTTTTTTTTTTTTTTTAAGTCCAGTTGCCTAATTTATTAAGAACAGTGCAGAGTTTTCTGGGTCCAGGGAAATTCACCACAGGATACTTCCAAATTGCCCTGTGGTGATCAGAGCCTGGCCTTCCCTTGGCCTGCAGTATCTCACCCTTCAGAGCTGTCCAGAAGACATTCGAGGTGTTAGAGGAAGGTGTGAGTAACAGGTCCAAATAGGTCTAGGGAAAAACATCCATAAAGGCAACTGAGCAGCAGACCGGATTCAGCTGCATGGCTGGAAGGTCACTATCACAGAAATGAAAGGACAACAACAGTAGTTTCTGGCCACTGACTACTGACCACCGACCACTGACCACCGACCACACTGCAGGCCAGCCACATTAAGTTCCTACCACGCGTCTAACTCATTTAATCTCCACAGGGTCTCTGTGAGGTAGGAATTATTATCTCTGCTTTACAGATGAGGGGACCATATTCAGAAAGGCTAGGAAACACGACTAGGGTCATACAGCTGGTAGTTGTTAGAGCCAAGATTCGAATCCATCTCTATCTGGCTCCAAAACCTGTGTTCTTGTCACCTTCCAACCCACTGGCCTCTCCGCATGTGCTGTGAAATCCTTTCGGTGCCTGCAAAGAAATGTACAGTGAAACCTCCAAATGGAAGCTTATTTTTTTTAGTTTATATAACTCCCACTCAAGATAAATAGCAACAAACTCTCCAAAGTAAAAAAAAAAAAAAAAAAAGAGTGAGGGAAAAATGGCTAAAATCTGGTACTCTGATCACAAGCCCATCTGGGATCTTTTAGATGCTGAAAATTCCAGAAGGCTGGATAGTCAAGCTGCAGCTTAGAAGCCGCAATTCAGAAATCTTTATCAAAGTAGCCGTTTACCTGCCCCTGAGGACGCTACTGGAATAACAGATGAGGGACGAGAGTGCCTGCTCAGAGAGAAAACGCCGAGAAAGCGAGTGATGCTTCCCTACCAGGAACTCCGGAACAAACCCACAGATGGTCCATAGGGGTGGCGTGTGTGGGGAGGTGGCCCAGACAAAACAAGAAAGTGTTGAAACTGAATGATGGATACATGGAGTTCACTGTGCCCATCTATCTGCTTGTGTGTGTGTTTGAAAATTTCACACACATACACAAAGCCATGACCCTCCAACTAGATGGCATCCTCAGATGTTGGTGGCCTGGGTTCCATGCTTTCTTAGACACAGCACCCTCGTGGGGAGAGGTCAAGGCTGAAACCAGGTGGTTCCTTCATCCCGCCCTGGTCTGTTCCCTGCTGATCCATCAGCAAAGGTCTCAGCATGGCCCCACAGTCAAAACAGTGCAGCAAATTCTGCTTTTATGGAAGACCTTCAGTAAGTGGTTGAAACCACTGTTCTTCAGAATCAGGAAGGAAAATTCAAAAGACTGCTAAACTCTCAAACTAGAACAAGACAAAAAACAGGCTGAAACAGCATGCCACTGGAGCCCACTTAGTGAGTTGACTCTGAGGTTACTTGTGAGGATGATGTCACTCTGTGGAATACAGAAACTGGCACCATCCCCAGAGTCAGCCTGCAGCCAGGCTGGGAGGGAGCTGGCTTCTCAGTGCTGAGTAAAGGACAAACCCCAAGCAGACATTTCAGACTGTGGCCAGACACAGCCTTGTTCCTTTAACACTTTAAAGGACAAATGGAAAGACTAGCCAGGCCACCCGTCTGAGAAGTCTGAGAGAAGAGATATTAAAAACAATCTTGGTTATGACGAGAGAGCTTTGATTCACCCAAAGGCGGAAAAACAGGTGTGCCGCATCCTTCAGGAAGCAAGTTTAGAAATCAGGTCTGCAAGTCACAGGAAGTGACTGGTCTGCAAATCCTACAGGCTCTACAAGGCTGGCAAGTCAAGGTCATCCACGGGGGCTGGCCCGGCTGCTTTGAGAATGTTGCCCATGACAGGTGGGTCACAGCCTCACAGAGCATTCCTGTGTCCCATAACCATAGCTTTCATCCCTAGCTCTGGTCATCCACTTTTGAAGTATATACCAAGGACTACAACTTCAAGGAGGTGGGCGGAAGACAGAATGGGATGTAGTCACACAGATCCATCACCACTATTCAAAACACAGCCCGGAGCACCTTCCAAGGGCTTTCTGTTCCACTGAGAATAAAATTCAAATTCCCACAAAAGATCTCAGGGTGCAACAGGACCACCTGGTCTCTGCTCATCTCTATTCCCTCATTTCCTCCTGGTCCACCTGCTCTAGCAAAGTTCCTTGAACTCACCAAGCTCATTCTTGCTTTAAGACCTCTGCACCCACCTTGATGCTATTCCCCAGGTCTTTGCACGATTACACAGATCTCAGATCAAAGGTCGCCTTCTCAGGCCTTTCTGGATCACTCTAGCTAAAGCAGCACCCCCAGTCACTTTCTATTATAGCTTGTTTTCTTTTTTATATCACTTGCTACTATCTGATGTTATTATTCATTTGACTGCTTTTTAATGAATTGTCTCTTTCCAGTAGAATGTAAGCTCCATGAGGGCAGAGTCTGGACTGTCGGATTCACTACTGCATCCACACAATGTAATATATATATATATACACACACACACACGTGTATATATATATTAGTATCCACACAACCTAGGATAATACACACACACACACATGCACACACACATATCCTTCATATATATATGCTTTCATATATATATGAAGGCATTTTTATTGAGGCACTTTTTCTTAATAAATGAATAAACAAAAATATATAGTATTTATTATTCAGTAAAAAATTCTTTAGAAAAAACTAAAATTATAAGATTGGGGCTGTCCTGGAGAATCTAAGACATATGGTCATCATGTATATGAAGTTCAACTTTTCCATCGTTTGGTAAATGTTCCTGATGACTCGTATTGAGCACTAGTTTATCTGTCAAATGATCACTGGTAAGAGAGTGCTCACTAGGGAGGGATGGGATTCTTGAGTGGGGATCTGGACATGCAGGTGGGTTCGTGTGTTCATGCATGTGCACAAGCACCCCCAGCTCAGAATCCACAACCCACAGCTCTTAGTCAGTGTGGCCTTGGTATACTTTAGGGGTATGTGTCTCCAACTGTAATATACAAGTCAGTCTCCTGGGGATCTCCTTAAAATGCAGATTCCAATTCCAGGGTGGGGTCTGAGATTTTATATTTCTAATTAGCACTCACTCAGGTGACATCTGTGCTGCTGGCCAGAGGCCCACACTTTGAGAAGCAAATCTCTAGGACTGCAAAATTGCCATCTGAGAAACATGCCTTGACATCAGCTAAGGAAGGAAGTGCTAATCATAGGGGACTTGGTCCCCAAGTCACAAAAATATACAGAATCTAATTTTAAACAAGCAGAAAGGCACTTTCTGGAAAGAGATGACTCAGTTTTCTTTTCTTTTTTTTTTTTCAATTTTTGTTTTTTGAGACAAAGTCTTGCTCTGTCACCCAGCTGGAGTGCAGTGGCATGATCTCGGCTCACTGCAACCTCCGCCGCCCAGGTTCAAGTGATTCTCCTGCCTCAGCCTTTTGAGTAGCTGGGACTACAGGTGTGTGCCACCACACCTAGCTAATTTTTTTGTATTTAGTAGGGATGGGGTTTCACCATGTTGGCCAGGATGGTCTCGATCTCCTGACCTCATGATCCTCCCGTCTTGGCCTCCCAAAGTGCTGGGATTACAGAAGTGAACCACCATACCCAGCCAGTTTTCTTCATTTGTAATACACCAAATTTGTAAATACTTAAAATGGAATCATTTCTAAATGCTGACATGTGTGCAGATCTGGGGCACTGCTTAATTCCAGTGTGGGAATTGTAAAGTATATATTCTTTTACAAGTTCCATATTTACAACACTTGGGACATGAGAAAGGAGAAAGCTTGGCCAATTGTGTGTAGCAATGGAACTCATATGGACCCATCTCACCATCCTGCTCCAGGTATAAAACTAGTTGTATTTTTTCTGGTTTCCCCTTTGAAAGTTTCCCATCCTTACTACCAACCCCACAGCCCCCAGTCCCCTAGTCCAGGCTCCAGGGACAAGCTCAAGCTGATTGGTGAGACTCTGAGTTAAATGTTCTGGTGAGTGATGAGCCTGTTGGGACCTTCTCCCACTTGGCTGCTGACCATGTGAGAGGGCAGGGCTGGTCCAGAGTCCTCAGCCCACCTGAGCATCCAACTGCAACCGTACGCTCTGGTGGCTTTGACAGAACTCTGTGCTGCCCGAATTATTCATGGCAGTTGTTAATGTGCTTCTCTCCATGGGATCCTGGGGGGAGAATGGGGTGACTGAAGGGCAGGACTGTGTACTCCTGTGTCCTTTAGCGAGCGTCTGACAGCAATGACTGGACACGATCCATCATCGTCCACAGCAGCCCCCTTCCCAGTACACACAAATGTCAGAAAGCAAACCTGGCTTTTCTCCTCCAGTTTTCTGTGTTCCTTAAGAAGTTGCTCCACGTGCATCACGCTGTCTCCAATGCCTGTAAACTCTGCTTGCTCTTCCAGCAAATTATCCAGGGCAAGCTTAACCTACGAGACACATTAGAACAGTCCGGGAGTAAACCAACACATACTCACCTGGAGGCATGGGTTGTTAAGCTTCGAGAAAATGCAAAGCTCCAGAAAGGATTCACGACTTGTATATATGTTTAAAAAGTTTTTTTGCAGCTCACTAACTTTCAAATTAAGCTGGGGGTGCAGACACCTATAGCTGGTTTATCAGAACTATATTCAACAGATTATCAATCAAAAAGGATGATAGCTGGGTCCGGCGGCTCATGCCTGTAATCCCAGCACGTTGAGAGGCGAGGCAGGAGGACTGTTTGTGCTTAGAAGGTTGAGAACAGCCTGGGGAACATAGGGAGACCTCGTCTCTGCAAAAATGTAAAAAGAATGACCTGGTGTGGTGGTGGGGCATGCATGTAGCTCCAGCTACTTGGGAGGCTGAGGTGGGAGGATCGCTTGAGCCCAGAAGATCAAAGCTGAAGAAGGCCATGATTGCATCACTGCACTCCAGGCTGAGTGACAGAGCAAGACCTTGTTTCAAAAAAAAAAAAAGCAAGATAAACCAACACTGAAATGCCGTGTACATCAACAGGAAAATGGGACCCTAGAACGCTGCTGCTCCACTGAAAAAGTGAGAAGGGGGCTGGAGGAGGGGTCTGTAAAGAAGCAAGGAGGGGGCCGGGCGTGGTGGCTCAAGTCTGTCCCAGCACTTTGGGAGGCCGAGGCGGGTGGATCACGAGGTTAAGAGAACAAGACCATCTTGGTCAACATGGTGAAACCCCGTCTCTACTAAAATACAAAAAATTAGCTGAGCATGGTGGCGTGTGCCTGTAATCCCAGCTACTCAGGAGGCTGAGGCAGGAGAATTGCCTGAACCCAGGAGGCGGAGGTTGCGGTGAGCCGAGATCGCACCATTGCACTCCAGCCTGGGTAACGAGAGCGAAACTCCGTCTCAAAAAAAAAAAAAAAAAAAAAGAAGCAAGGAGGTGAGGTGAGGAGGAAGCTGGATTAGGGAAAAGAGGGAACTCCCATACCAAAGAGGGAGGGCGGAGAGAAAAGCAGAGCTCACTGAACCAGTAAAGGAAGTTACATGAAACAAGGAAAGAATACCTTACAAAAATCGTGCTCAAAATGCTGCAGCTGCAGGCACTGGTTAAGCTTCAGATGATGCTTGGACCAAAACTCACTAAAGGCTTTTTCTGTTTCATGCAGTTGAACTAATAACCTTTCAAGAAAGGAGAAAGTGATGTTCCGTTAGCAATCATTTCCACCGGCATCCATACAGGCCTATGGAGAGGAACCTGTGTTTTCAGTCAGCGTTACCACTTGTGATCATCTCCTTACTATGAACGTAGGTGTCACCTGTGCCTCTCTTTGGGCTCAGCAGGGTTTTCACCTTTCATTTCCCAGTCGGGACACCCACAGCGCAGGCAGCAACTTCCCTCCAGATGCAGCTGCTGTGCTTTAGAATGCGCTCCGGCGATCTTACCTTCCTGCCTTCGTTCTTTCTACCTGAGGCTACATGAATATAAAGCACAGCACCAAGCCAAACTGTAATTTGGAAATGACGCCCAATACATACTACCCTCTCCCTCAAAATCCTAGGATGGGAGCATGTCATATGCATTGAAGAGGGAGGAATGGAGCTCTCATTAAAAGATCTCTGTACGTGGATGCCAGAGGGACATATCTCTTCTCCTTTGCTGTCTAAAATATTTTTCCTCTTCCTTGGCCCGACCAAGACCCACTCTTGGCTGTTCCAGTCTGTTCTTGATTGCTCTAGAATATATAGGTCTATATTTTCCCTCCTGAAAAGGCGGATCCCACCTCACGCACTCACCTTTCCAAGGCAGCTACGTTCTCAAGTTGATTGAGATTGAGTTTGCTGTTGGGATATTTGGTTGCTGGTTCTCGGATGCATGACAGCAATGTGGCCCCCTGCTTCCCAAGTAATTTCAGCTCATCCTAGAGAATAAAAGTAGTCTCTCTTAGAAAGAATTAGGAAAAACAAGTTCTTGAGAGAATTGTGATGAAGAGAATAGATCAGTATATTTTTCATTTGGGAAATTAAATGCTGATGAAGTCAAGATGCAGTTTTAAAATTAATCAATTAACTTATGCTTGAGAGGTAATGCATCCACATGATACAAAATTCCAAATATCCAAAAGCCTATACACCAAAAAAAGTATTTTTTTCGTCTTCCAAAGCCACATCTGCTTTTTGTATAGCTCAAGCTATTGTTGTAAATTAAAAGCAAAACTAGTTAATACAATCTGGTTTTGATCTAAGAGAGTGACCAGAAACAAGAAAATGATAGATACTGAATACTGAATGCTAGAAACTACCAAGCAATAATAACGTAATAACTGCTAGTTGACCATAAAAATACTTCAGTTGGTCTCATCAGTAAACACCTGCTTCCCCTTCCACCTGCCAACCAACTGTGGCTTTGTTTAATTATTGAAGTTTGGCAGATATGTGCAGCAATTTCAGTTCAATGTGGAAAGACTCGTACTTCCAAGCCAACTCCATGCTGCTCTTTGAACACAGAGCCTCAGTGCTCTGCAGCTGGGGAAGGCTACTTCCTTCCAGAGCCAACAGCTGTAGCCCTTTCCTTGGACAGTGCAGGTAATCTCTCATTGCCCCGAGCCTTACCCACAAAGCCCAGGGTGCACAACAAAAGTGGCAGTGCCTGACCTACAATTCTGTGCTTGGGAATTATGGGTTCGGTTCCCAGGTCAGAGGAGGCTGATTTGGTATGCCCTTGAGCATTAGAATAGGCACACAGCTCTAAAACAAACCAAAAGATCACCTCTGCCCACGTGAACACTTCCTCTAGGCCCAGCCACCTCTGTGGCCTCCACACAGCCTAGAGCTCATTCCCTGTGGGAAGAGTTTCACACTTCCCCACTCTGATCACACGGAAGTCCTGTGCTCTCTGAAGCTCATACCTTTGTTCCTGTGTCCCATTCTACTCCACAATTTCCCCTGGAAGGGTTACACTGACTACCCATCCTCAAACCTGGCCCTGGATCTGGCTGATGATGGACTTGGCTTCTCTGAGCTAGCCCTGCAGGGTTCTTTGGATACCTCCTCTGGCCCTGTCCACTCCAAACAGTGGCCCACACTAGCCACGTGGCTGGCGCTCTTGCCTGGCAATCAGGCGTATCTCTTCTTTTCCATTCTCATGTGTCAGCCCTCATTTCTTATCTCATCAAGGCTCATTAAATATTTGTAGGTTGGTTAAATTAATAACAGCCTAAAAGAAGTCAGGTTGCAAATGAATACAGACAAATTAGATGTGATGGAAAAAAATGTCCTCCTGAGTCAGTGTCTTAGCCATTCCCTCAGCCCACCCACTAAAGGGGGTCTTGGCTTTTCCCACTCATTTTCTTAACTGCTGCTGAGCTTCCAGCAGGATTCTGGCATTACCCACATATATATCCATATCCATATATATGAAAGTACACACACACACACACACACACACACACACACACACCGATATGTGATGAAGAGTTGGGAAGAAAGGTAGAGAGGCTAAAGGAGAAGCGCCATATTGGTATGGCAGAAGGAGACGCTGAAGGGGGAAGCTGGGAAGAGGGACATACCCAAAGTGTGGCAGAGCCTGGGGAAAATGTGTGAGGCAGGAAAGGTGAATCTTCACCAGTGATGTCACATACCGCATATCCCCTTCACACTGTTTAAAAAGGCTACGAGCAGGAATCGTGGCCTGGTTACTGCTTTGGTATTCAACCAACATGGTCGACTTGAGTAGGGTTATGAAAATCTTCCCAGAACTCAGAGGGAAGATGGAGCAACGATGGCACTTGAAAAGGGGAAGGGGAAGTGGCCCAGCCTAAAAATGGAGCTTCAGTTTCCATGGGAAGAAGATCATCTTTCTGGGTATTTAACTTTTTTACTACCTGCACTCAGGCTGGAGGAGGAACTCAGGGCACTGTCTTCCAGAACATGTGTATCAGTTGATGCTCCCTTTCGGAGAGTCTCCTTTCTCTGGGCAGATAGGATCCTGCTGGTGGCAGGGTGAGGACTGTTGTAAACTGAGAGACATCTCACTGCCTTCCAAAGTTGCCTTTCCTCAGAAAATGGGAGCCCCACCACCATCACCACCTTGGTCAGGATCCAACCGGCAGAAGAGGTCGCGGTGCCCGCGCATGTGCTCTGGGCACCTGCAGGTACTCGCAACACGTGGAAAGGCACACAGCAGGAATGATGGCGGGCTGAGTCCTGTCTGCTTCATTCATCAGGAGCTGAGCTCTCCCGGGGAAGGCTAAAGCTGCTTGGGTTCACCAGACTTGCTTTTCCTTTCTGTCCCTCAGAGAAAATGAGGTTTCAAATCTTAGCATGAAGCCCCAGTGCCCACAATTTCACTGGACAGAAGATAACACCTACTGAAGTCGGGAGCACTCTCTGACTGTAAGGTACATGAAGGCCCAAACCGTGGCTCCGGCTGAGGGAAAGTTTAGGTTTCCGGGGAAGAGCCTTCTTTAAAGTCATCAGTTTGCTTAAAAGTTTGACACGATTGTTCCACTGTGGTTGTTTTGAGATTTTTTTTTCTGTGTGAATAGACTGGCTTAATATACTGAAGGGCCGAAATAAAAGAGATTCTATTGGAAGATTATTTTAAACAAACTAGTAACAACTCCCTAGAGAAATAGCAAGTGAGGCTGAAAACCTCTCCAATGCAATGGTTCTCCTATTGTTTGACTGTAGAGGCAGCTACATGTATATTTCTAAGATAAGGGGTCTCAAAGACCCCAGGAGAAAGAAGGTCAAGAAATCAAGCCAAATCCCCTAAGGTGTGCCAGCTGTTTAGGAAAAAACCCTCTCCAGGCTGGGAGAAAAACAGTAAACCACACGCTGCAACTTTTATAGATCCTTACATAGATTTAAAAGTACTCCGTATTGAACAAGGAATCTTATAATAATTTTTCACTTTCCAGCTGGAAAAAAATTATTCAATGACATACAGAATCTTTGATTAAAATCTAGGTAGAAGACCAATAAGAGGAAAATATGTATAAATAACCACAAAACTACTAAGTTATTAATACAAGTTTAAACAGTATCTCTTTTTTGGTAATGTAAACCATTTATCTCTAAGGCATTTTTGGATGAGAAAGAGGAAAAATGTAACTCTTGTTTAATGATTTTGGTATTCTTGCTTCTAAGCTATAAGATAAGGAACAAAGAAATCAAATTTGCATTGGTCCAATAATCAGCAAGCACAAAAAGGCCTTAAGAAATGCTCTGGTTTTGTGTGTGTGTGTGTGTGTCTGTGTGTGTGTGTGTGTGTGTGTGTGTGTGTTTTAAGATGGAGTTTCACTCTTGTTTCCCAGGCTGGCGTGCAGTGACATGATCTCAGCTCACTGCAACCTCTGCTTCCCAGGTTCAAGCCATTCTCCTGCCTCAGCCTCCCAAGCAGCTGGGATTATAGGCACCAGCCATCACACCTGGCTAATTCCTGTATTTTTAGTAGAGACGAGGTTTCACCATGTTGGCCAGGCTGGTCACAAACTCCTGACCTCAGGCGATCTATCCTCCTCGGCCTCCCAAAGTGCTGGGATTACAGGCGTGAGCCACCGAGCCCAGGCTATATTATCTTTTAAAGGATGTTAATTAATATTACTTGGTAAAATAAGGAGGATAATATTTTTAAATCCAAATTCACTTAATATTCTTCATTGAGGTAAAGACTTGGACAAATTAAATTGCTTTGAGAATTTTGCCTTAAAATGATTTGAGGTATTCACCATGATTTTAGGGCAGCATGGAATACAAATGCAAGCATTTCTTTTACTGAAAGGCCAATTAAATGGATCTTCTAATTTCCTTACACTTGTCTTACAGGTTGGATGGGGGTGTTTAACCAAATTAATGTAATTAGAGTATAAATGTCAAATAATACTTCTAACTATGTGGCCTCCAAGGCTACTCTACCCCATAATCTGAGAGAAGTCTTAGCCTCCTTGCTCAGAGCGGCCTGTTTTACTTCTGAGAGCACCTGGTTAGCATGTATAAGGAAATCCTCTTACTCCATCTTGGAAACTGGTTCTCTCCCACCTCCTTACCTTTGCAGAACTCTGCCTGTGTAGAGAAACTAGAGAACACCCACTCACCTGCCTTTCCTGTCCCCACTCCTCTGCCCTGCCCACCAGCACATACAGCAAGCCCTGACTGGCTGGTTTTCAACCCCCCAGTTATATGTCCTTATCTAAAATACAAACTTTGTAACCTTTCCTCCAGAGACCCTCCTGCCTGAGCAGTGTCATCTCAGTGTTTCTATGCTTCGACCTCTCCATGCCCTTCTTGGGCAGAGGCAAAGAACACACTGTGCTCAGGAGCCCTAGGCGCAGACTCAGTTTCGCTGTCCTTGCCACGCTGGGCATCCTCCCATCACACCCGCTCGCACCAACGGGATGCTCTGCAGACTCCTTTAGGTCAGGGACCACCTTTTGGCCTGTGCAACCACAAACTCCTTCCTTGCACACTTCACAGAGGCATCTAGACCTGCTGTCTGTAACTCGCGCCTCCCAGGAATCACGTGATGTGAACTCAGCCAGTAGGTTTGGAAAAGCAAAGGCCAACCGTCTCAGAGGCGTTTTCAGGGAAAATTTTCAGGATGTCGTCAGTCCAGATATTTTGATTACTCATACTCACAGTAATCTTTGGAATATATTTCTCTCTTCCTTTTTGTTTGTTTTTTTTTTGAGATGGAGTCTTGCTCTGTCGCCCAGGATGGAGTGCAGTGGGGAAATCTCGGCTCACTGCAATTTTTGCCTCCCAGGTTCAAATGATTCTCTCACCTCAGCCTCCTGAGTAACTGGGATTACAGGCACCTGCCATCATTCCCGGCAAAGTTTTGTATTTTCAGTAGAGACAGGGTTTCACCATGTTGGTCAGGCTGGTCTTGAACTCCTGACCTAAGGTGATCCACCTGCCTTGGCCTCCCAAAGTGCCAGGATTACAGGCATGAGCCACCATGCCTGGCTATCTCTTTTTTGAATAACAACCTCCTTAAAGACTGAATTTCACACTGTTCCCTAGCACATGGAAACATTAATTTGCCTCAATTACTAGACTCCAAGACCCTCCTAACTAGACTATGTGTTCCTTGAGGTTGCATTTTTGGTTTGCCTGGCAAATACTGGCGGGTGCTCAATAAATGTTGAATAAATGAACAAATCAACCATCTAGCGAAGCATTTTTGCCAATTTTTGGTCACAGATACGACAGTTCAACTCTTCCCACACCGGGACACATACTGACTGCCCAATCCTCATTTTGCTGCCCTATTGAAAACCGGGCTTCTGTGAAATACTGGATTTGGTCTGTTTGTGCTTCTCAAGGTAGAAAGGTACCGACACTCATCCAGTGAGAAGCCCCAGGAAGATTTCCCTGTATTGCATGATCGAAAGAACCCACCAAGCTCCCTTTCTCAGCAGGTTCTGACGTGCTTTTATGAATAATCTAATAGGTGCATCTCCTTAAACCCAGGTCAGGACACCTTCCATAGTCCTTCTTCTCAAATTCATCCCCAAATGAAAAGACACACTCCTGAGAAAGTTAAACAATAAGTCAGCTTATTAGTCTGCCCCAAAACTTTACAACCACTGCTGGAAAGCTTACACTTCAAAAGCCAGCCCCTGCCCCCTGCAATTTCAGCACGTTCTGTCTTGCTCTGTTCTGAGCAGGATCACGGGAGTGCAACCCTTAAAAGGGTGCTCATGTGCCTCAGCTCACCAGGACAAAGCTGGAAAAGCCCTTCCCTGTGCTTCTTCATGCACCACCCAGTCTCAAGAGACTTCTTTCATTACAAACTACCTGTCAGGAAGGTTTAAGATGGTCAGTGACTTCCAAGTCACTAAAGAAGAAGGAAAACGATGGCTGCACTGTTAATTCTGCTCCCAGCTCTCTCCAAGAGGCAGGCATACCTGCTGGCACAGATGCTGGCCTCTGAGAGGCCACTGGCCACTCACCTGTAGCTTGTCCCGCTGCCTTGTGTGGGACATGAGAAGGTCTTCCGTGGATAGCATGCTTCTGGGCAGCTCTGTTGTGGCCAGGGAGGCCCCGAATGTCTGCAGCATCTGGACAGTGGTCTTCAAGGTCAAGGCAAAGTTTTCGATGGCCTGGAAGGTCAGACAATTATAACAATGTGGAGAGATTAACATTCACCAACATGCTCTACTGATGGAAAGATAGGTGATAAAATTAGTGAATAATCACTTCACCTTGGAAACGGTATAAAGGACCTGATCCTGAGAGGGAGATTTATAAAAAGACCCCGGTCTTAGTCTCAACGCTGCCACTAGTTGACCAAATGACTTTGGATTTACACTGAATGTCAGTTTATTTACCTGTAAAATAAAGTGATTGAACCACCTGATCTTTAAGATTCCTTTGAGTTCTAACTTTCTGAGTCTCTCGTTCAAAGAGCTGACACCCAGAAAATGCACTGACACCCAGAAAATACACTGTCACACAGAAAGGAATCTATACATCTCACATATAAAACAGTATGTACCATATATGTGTCGTTATGTTATTCCTAGTTATATATACAGGCCAATCTCAAAGCTATTACGGGTTTGGCTCTGGGCCACGGCAACAGAGCCAATTACAATACAGTGAGTCACACAACTTCCTTTGTGTCCCATTGCAGATGCAAGTTATATTACACTACAGTCTATTAAGTGTGCAATAGCATTATGTCTAAAAAATGCACATACCTTAATTTTAAAATACTTTATTGTTAAAAAAATGCTAACAATCTTCTGGGCCTTCATCAAATCACAATCTTTTTGCTGCTGGAGGATTGGAGGGTCCTCGCCTTATTGTGGGTGGCTGCTGACTGATGAGGGTGACATTTGCTAAAGGCTGGAGTGGCAGTGGCAATTTCTTAAAATAAGACAACGATGAAGTTGTCACATCAATTGACTTTCTTTCATGAAAGATTTCTCTGTAGCATGCGACACTATCTGACAGCAGTTTGCCCACAATAGAACTTCTTTGTGGACATCCTCTCAAACTATGCCACTGTTTATAGACTAAGTTTATGGAATATTCTGATTCCTTTGTTGTCATTTCAACAATGTCCACAACATCGTCACCAGAAAAATGAAGAAATCACTTTTTTTTCTCATCTGTTAAAAAACAGCTCCTCATTCACTGAAGCTTTATCATGAGGTTGTGACAATTCCATCACATCTTCAGGCTCCACTCCCAATTCTAGTTCTCTTCCTATTTCCACCACCCCTGCAGTCACTTCCCCCACTAAAGTCCTGAACCCCTCAGTCATCCATGAGGGTGGGAATCAGCTTCCCTCAGACTCCTGTTAATATTGATATTTTGACTTCCTCCCATGAATCACTAATGTTCTTAATGGCATCCAGAATGATGAGTCCTTTCCAGAAGGTTTGCAATTTGCTCTACTCACACCCATCGGAGGAATCACTACATATGGCAGGAATGGCTTTACAAAATGTATTTCTAAAAATCATAAAACTGAAAGCCGCAGAGTAGAAGTTGCATTAGCAGGCATGAAAACAACATTCATCTCCTTGTACGTCTCCATCAGAGCTCCCAGGTGACCAGGCACATCGCCAATAAGCAGCAGTATTCTGGAAAAACCTTTTTGTCTAAGCAGTAGGTCTCAACAGATGGCTTAAAATATGCAGGAAACCATGCTGTGAACGGAAGTGCTGCCATCCAGGCTTTGTTGTTTGTTCTATGTAGAGCACAGGCAGAGTCGATGCAGCATCATTCTTAAGGGCCCTAAAATTCTGGGAGTGGTAGATGAGCAGTGGCTTCCATTTAAGGTCACCAACTGCATTAGCCCCTAACAAGACAGTCAGCCTGTGCTTTTAAGCTTTGAAGCCAGGCTCTGACTTCTCTTCTCTAGCTATGGAAGTCTTAGGTGGTGTCTTCTTTCAAAAAGACTGTTTCATTGACATTGAAAATCTGTTGCTGAGCATAACCACTTTCACCAATGATGTTAGTTGGATCTTCTGGATAAGTTGATGCAGCTTCTCTATCAGCACCTTCCACTTGTATGTTACAGAGATGAATTCTTTCCATACACCTCACACACCAGCCCCTGCTAGCTTCAGACTTTTTTTTTTTTTTGAGATGGAGTCTCATTCTGTCACCCAGGCTGGAGTGCAGCGGCAAGATCTTGGCTCACTGCAACCTCCACCTCCGGCTTCAAGCAATTCTCTTGCCTCAGCCTCCTGAGTATCTGGGATTACAGGCACACGCCATCACACCTGGCTAATTTTTGTATTTTTAGTAGAGACAGAGTTTCACCATGTTGGTCAGGCTGGTCTCAAACTCCTGACCTCATGATCCCCCGCCTCGGCCTCCCAAAGTGCTGGGATTACAGACGTGAGACACTGTGCCCTGCCCGCTTCAAACTTTACTTCTGCAGCTTCTTCACTCTCTCAACCTTAATAGAATTGAAGAGAGTTAGGGCCTTGCTCTGGATAAAGCTTTGGCTTAAGGCAATTTTGTGGCTGGTTTGATCTTCCATCCAGGCCCAGACCACTAAAGCTTTCTCTGTATCAGCAAGAAGGCAATTTTGCTTTCTTATCATTCATGTATCTGCTGGAGTAGCATTTTTAATTTCCTTCAAGAACTTTTCCTTTGAATTCACCACAGGCTAACTGGCTAGGCTAAGAGGCCTGGCTTTCTGCCTATCTTAGCTTTTAACATGCCTTCCTCATTAAGCTTAATCGTTTCAACCTTTTGATTTAAAGTGAGAGACAAGCCCTTCTTCCCTTCACTAGAACACTTAGAGGCCATTGTAAGGTAATTAATTGGCCTAATTTCTATTTTGTTCTTTCTTAGAGAATAGGGAGGCCCAAGGTGAGGGGGAGAGATGGGTGAGGGCTGACTGGTGGAGCGATCAGTACACACACAGCACATATCCACTAAGTTCACTGTCTCAGATGTGTGCAGTTTTTGGCACCCCAATTCAACAGTAACATCAAAGATTGCTGATCACAGATCACTGTTACAAATACAATAACTGACTGGGCACAGTGGCTCATGCCTGGAATCCCAGCACGTTGGGAGGCTGAGGCAGGAAGTTCACTCGAGGTCAGGAGTTCGAGACCAGCCTGACCAACATGGTGAAACCCCCATCTCTACTGAAAATACAAAAATTAGCCTGGCATGGTGGTGAGTGCCTGTAATCCCAGCTACTCGGGAGGCTGAGGTTGCAGTGAGCCAAGATTGCACCACTGCACTCCAGCCTGGGTGACAGAGCAAGACTCTGTCTCAAAAAAGAAATAAAGAAAAAACAATAATAATCAACTTAGAAATATTGCAAGAATTGCCAAAATTTGTCAGAGAGGCACAAAGTGAGCACATACTGTTGGGAAAATGGTGTTGATAGACTTGTTCAACACAAAGTTACCAAAAAACTTCAATTTTTAAAAATTGCAGTATCAGCAAAGCCTACTAATGTGAAGCATAATAAGATGAGATATGACTGTAAGCGTGTGTATATAAAACATATACACAGAACATGTAAAAGGCATGTAAAGAGTATCTCTGGTCTTTCAATAGTAGTTGTATTTTTTAAAGTTCACTGTAAAATGTTTGGCACAAGAACAACCACAAGCCCTGGCTACTAACTAGGCTAGGGATGGCCTATAACAAAAACACCTTTGTAAGGTCTTTTAGGCTGGCTGACTGCACCATGGACCACATGGTAACCTCTGTGACCTGCACATACACCTCCAGATGGGTTCCTTAAAATAGAAAGTCTGAAGTAACTGGAAAACCACAAAAAGGAGAAGAATGACTAACTCCTGCAGTGCCTAATTAACTCTGAGGCATTCTTCTATTGTTCCCAATTCCGGCCTCAACTGATAAGGCAACTGGACTTTGTAACCAAACTTGCTCAACTGATAGGTCAACCCTGTGACTCCAGACCCTACAACCCCTCTCAGCTTGCAAAAACTACCGTAACTGTAACTTCTGTAACTTTCCACTGCCTACTGCAAACCCATAAAACCAACCTCTATCCCGCTGCTCTCCACTGACTCTCTTTTTGGACTCAGCCCACCTGCATCCAGGTGAATAAACAGCCATGTTGCTCACACAAAGCCTGTTTGGTGGGGGTCTCTTCATTCAGAGCACGTGTAACAACTTTAACCTGGGTAATTTATAAGCAACGGAAATTGATTTCTCACAGATTTGGCAGCTGGGAAGTTCAAGATCAAGACCCCAGTAGATCTGGTGGCTGGTGGAGGTCTGCTCCTCATAAAGGATGACTTCTTTGCCCTCACGGGGGAGAAGGGGTATGACAGCTCCCTTCAACCTCTGTTGCAAGGGTACCAACTCCATTTATGATGCCAGAGCCTTCATGACTTAATATGTCTCAAAAGGCCCCCCTCTAAATGCCATCGTCACATTGGGTACCAACACATGAATTCTGAGCGGACACCAGCATTCAAGCCATGACAATGAGTTTTGATCTCACCGTTTCCTCAGTATTACTGAAACTTCTAACCCAGCATAACAATCACCAATATCAGTAGGTAAGAAAAAGTAAAATACTACATTTCAAGTACTTTCACAGACAATATATCACTTATTCCCCACATCAAACTTTCGGGAGGCTTTTGTCGGTCCAGGATTTCTCAGCATTAGCCATTCACATTTTGGACCAGGTGAGTCTCTGCTGTGGGAGGCTGTCTTGAGCATTCCAAGGTGTTCAGCAGACCCCCTGACCCCTACCCACTAGATACCAGTTAGATACTCAGCCTGCCCCCGACTAAGTTATGACTACAAAAAATATCTAAAGATATTGACAAATGTAGGGGGCAGGCAAAATTATCTCCCGTCGAGAAATGCTGTGTTAGTCCCATTTTAACAGAGGAAGAAACAAGTCAGAAATGCTTAGTAACTCACCCAACATCAGACAATATGTCATTGTGACAATTTTTTTTTTTTTGAGATGGAGTCTCACTCTGTTGCCCAGGCTGGGGTGCAATGGCATGATCTTGGCTCACTGCAACCTCTGCCTCCTGGTTTCAAGTGATCCTCCTGCCTCAGCCTCCTGAGTAGCTGAGACTACAGGCACCCACCACCACACCCGGCTAATTTTTTGCATTTTTAGTAGAGACGGGATTTTGCCATGTTGACCAGGACTGTTTCGACCTCCTGACCTCGGGATCTGCCCACCTCAGCCTCCCAAAGTGCTTGGATTACAGGCATGAGCGACCGTGCCCAGCCAATTTTTAAAAATTAATTTCAACTTTGATTTTAGATTTGGGGTACATGTGCAGGTTTGTTACATGGATACATTGTATGATGCCGACTTCTGGGGCACAGCTGATCCTGTGAACCAGGAAGTGAGCACAGCACCCAATAGTTTTACAATCCTTGTCCCCTTCCCACCTTCTCACCTACAGTAGCCCTGAGGGGTGACAATATTTAAATGTGGTTCTTCTGACTTCATCGGTGTCAATATGTCTGCACATTAGAGTCAGCTGGGGAGTTTTGTGGCATGTTAATGTCTAAGACCCATCCCAGATTAAGTAAATTAATTTCTCTGAAGTATAACAGGGTACTGGTGTTTCTGGAATCTTCCCAGGTGCATTCGAAGGTAAGTGTCCCCAAACCCCCGCCAGGAGATGCAGTGGGTAAGGCGGTCAACAGGAGAAACCCCAGCCTTTGTCCCTTCCACGCTCCTTCTTCCCTAGACTGTGGCTGAGAAATTCCAGCCATCCCGAGGTCAGGCAGTCTCAGGGTGACCTCCAAGCAGCTGATCTCTAACTGCCAACCCCATCTTCTGGAAAACAAGGAGAGACAGTGAAAAGCACTCATAAGCTGGTACTCACAGTGCGGTGATTTACCCACTGACTGTGGCGATATTCCAAAGTCCCCCCTAATTCCTGGGTCAGTTGGCTTTTGTCGATGTAGCCATGAAGGTCAGAGACAGAGTTTAACAAGATGATCTGTAAGGTAAAAATTTAATTAAATGTATTCCTCATTGATCATTAAATAATAGCTCATTTAGATTCTCTTCTTATCATAATTATATTTTTATATTCTATTCTTATTTAAATGATAACTCAACTTTGCCTTATCAGGCATTTATATTTAAAAATGGTTACAGCCAAGCACAGTGGGTCATGCCTGTAATCTCAGCACTTTGGAAAGCTGAGGTGGGAGAATCATTTGAGGCCTGGAGTTTGAGACAAGCCAGAGCAACATAATAGAAAAATAAAAAAACTAGCTGGGCATGGTGGCCTGCATCTGTGGCCCCAGCTACTGGGGAAACTGAGGCAGGAGGATTGCTGAGCCTGGGAGGTTAAAATGCTGCCGTGAGCAGTGATGGCACCATGGCACTCCAGCCTGGGTGACAGAACAAGACCCTACCTCGAAAGAAAAACAAATTACTATATCCAGCAGGGAAATATTTTAGTTTCTTTCTAGCTTTCCCTTTTGAAAGAGAAATACCCAAGTGTTGTACATCCTGTGACGGAATGTTGGCTTGGCTCAGGGAGCGCAGTTCCAGGCTACCTAGAAGCCAGGTCTCACTTTATGTGAATGTTTAGTTAAAAGTTCCCAAACTAAGGTACACTCTTCAGCCGCCAAAATCAAGTATTGTTCTATGGCCTGAAAACCTGCCATGAGAAGCCCAATCCAAGGTGGTCAAGTAAATATCAAAATAAAATTAGAACACAGGGAAACACACAGAGCATGCATTGAAAAGATTCACTACACTAATGCCCCTCCATGAAGAATGTCTACGTGCCCCTACATTAGCTTGCACAGAGGGGATCTGGAGGTAACAGGGAGTTGGTTTTATAAACTAGCAATTCAGCCCATGAGCAAACACCCAAAGGGATGCATCCAGAGGAAGCTGACATATCCCAAACTGCCCCCTTACTTTGCATGCAGAAACTCCAGTAAAGGCTCTCGCCTCTGCCTCCTTCTACTGCCTCCTGACCAAAGCTGGTGCGTCCCCAGTGGCCCATGTGGTGTGAGGTGAGCCCCACCTCTGGGAAGTGCGAATATAATAAACTTCTTCCTTCCAAAGCTGGTTTCTCCTGTGGCTCCACCGACTTTACCAAACATGCATATTCTTAGAACAATTGTCATAAGCTAAAAATGTCCTTTTCCCTTTTCTGTATATATTTGTGTTCTTATCTATAGATGCTTAAAGCTGTTTTTTCAAAGAAATACATGATCTTTTAACTGCACAATAAGAATTTCCTGTATTCTGACACAAACTCAATTTTAAGTAACCAATTTCCACGATCACAGACTCTTTAGGGGGTTTGCAAGACTGCCTTGGTGACTTCACATTAATAGTTTTGTGAGGCTGCTACGAGTACAGCTGTTCCAGCATAAGGAAGTGCCTGGCCAGCAACAGGGACTCAGAAAGCATTTACTGGGAGGCCAAGGTGAGAGGATCACTTGAGCCCAGGAGGCTGAGGCTGCAGTGAGTCATGATGGTGCCACTGCACCCCAGCCTGGGTGATGGAGCAAGACTCTCTCCAACAAAACAAAACAAAAACCATTTACTACATCAAAGTACTTCCCCTCCATACGTAAAGGTAGAGGGAGGCTGTCACTTGACCACAATCACATCCCTGGCCCACCTGATTCCTGTACCAGTCATGGAAAATAAACTTCTTTACTCCCCTACCAGTGAAAACAGAATCATCTAACTATAAATGAGCAGGAAGATGTAATAAGAGAGGCTAGGAAGCTCCAATGTGTTAATAACTGTCATTAAGAAGGCAACACATATTTTCAAGATAGATATCATCGGGCTTGGTAACTTTAGACTCTGCCATTCTGGAGCATCAGCACTACCAGGGAGTGTGATCTTGTGCGTCAGGTGAAATGGTAACTTACAGGGTAAACCTGCACCCACGTACCCAGGGTTTGGGTGACTGAGAGCTTTTTCAAAAGTTGATTTTGGCTGGGTATGGTGGCTCATGCCTATAATTCCAGCCCTTTGGGAGGCCGAGGTGGGCGGATCATGAGGTCAGGAGTTCTAGACCAGCCTAGCCAACATGGCAAAACCCCATCCCTACTAAAACTACATAAATTAGCTGGGTGTGGTGGTGTGTGCTTGTAATCCCAGCCTCTCAGGAGGCTGAGGCAGGAGAATCACTTTAACCCAGGGGGCAGAGGTCACAGTGAGCTGAGATTGTGCCACTGCACTCTAGCCTGGGCAACAAGAGCAAAAACTCCGTCTCAAAAGGAAAAAAAAAAAGTTGATTTTAAGTTTAAAATTAAAAGCAGAACAGGTAGGGAATTAACATACACTACTACAAATAGAAGCAGCTGAAGTCAGAGTATGGAGATAAAGTGGACGTTCAGTCCCTTCACAGTGTAGACACGCCCTGTGAAAAGGAGGGCAGAAGTCTGTGTACAAATGTGTCTGTGTACATACGAGCACTCCTAGATCACATGTACAATACACACAAAACACACGTGTTTTATATGCAGTCAGGGAAATATGTATGACATTTGGCCAAATGCTCAGTTCCAACTCCAAATGTTTGAGTGGCAAGAAGAATTGATGAGCCTTCATTTCCGAAGGGGAGGCAAACTCATAACAATGACAAGTCACTGGCTGCATGTCGGTCACCATCTCTTCCCAAACATCAACTGTTACTAAAGTTAGGAAAACTGAGCAAGGAACTAGGCCTCACATTTTCCTTAAACATGCAAGAATTTCAAAATGAGTATTTACAATAGAATGGGAAATCTATTTTGAGTTCAGCTAATCCCCAAAGTATGAAAGAAAGGATTTTCAGAAATTTGATTAATATAAGATGGAACCAAAACAAGAAAAATACAAGTAAGAAAGGAGAGAGAAAAATGAGAAAAATCACTTGTCTAAGATGGTAAGTCTTCACTGAGAGGGGTTAAATATTCTTTCCGAGTATGTATGTATGTATGTATGTATGTACGTACTGAGACAAGTCCTTGCTCTGTCACCCAGGCTGGAGTGCAGTGGTGAAATCTCAGCTCACTGCAGCCTCTGCCTCCTGGGTTCAAGCGATTCTCCTGCCTCAGCACCCCAAGTAGCTGGGACTACAGGTGCACATTACCACACCCAACTAATATTTGTATTTTTAGTAGAGATAGGGTTTTGCCATGTTGGCCAGGCTGGTCTCGAACTCCTGACCTCAGACGTTCCGCCCACCTTGGCCTCTCAAAGTGTTGGGATTATAGGTGTAAGCCACCACACCCGGCCCTCTTTCAGAGTAATTTTAATTAAAGCTATTTTTTGTTTATTTTGAATAGATAATATTTATAGATAGTAATAAATTTGAACAGAAAAAGTCTATCTAAATAGAAAAATCTTCCCACCTCCCACTTACCCCCAGCCGGTGGAGATCCGGAAGGCAAACACTTTTAACCAGGTTTTGTGTATCTTGTATATCCTTCTCAAAATGATCAATGCACAATCATACATACAGACCTCTTATTTTACCCAAATGGGAACCTACTGGACATACAGTTCTCCCTTGATTTTACCCTCACTTAAATATACATCTTACATGGGCTGAAATTTAAGGTATCAGTATGAACTTACAATCTCTAGAATATTTGCAATTCCAACTATGTACACATATATGTGCATATACATGCATATATTTACAGCTTCTGTCTGCTGAAAGCAAAGCTACCAAGTAGTCACAGCACATCTTGCATCCAGATCTTGGACTAATACTATTCAACACCAAAAGGAGCCAGGGCTCTGGAGAAAAATGGCCAGTAACAAAGCTGCATCACAGCATGCATGAGAGGGGCCTAGATGATCACATCAGGCCAGAACTAAGGAAGTGCTAAAAAAAAAACCATGATAGAGACATGTCACAAGGACATAGGAGTCAGCCTGAGGGGGTTTCCACTGGCCAAACCTGGGACAGCTGGAGAACCACAATAATTAAGAGCAGCAGGTCTAAGTGCAGTGGCTCACACCTGTAATACCAGCACTTTGGGAGGCAGAGGCAGGTGGATCACCTGAGGTCAGGAGTTCAAGACCAGCTTGGCCAACATGGTGAAACTCCATCTCCACTAAATACACAAAAAAACTTTTTTTTTGAGACTGAGTTTTACTCTTGCTCCCCAAGTTGGAGTGCAATGGTGCGATCTCGGCTCACCGTAATCTCCACCTCCCGGGTTCAAGCAATTCTCTCAACCTCCCAAGTAGCTGGGATTATAGGCATTAACCACCATGCCCGGCTAATTTTGTATTTTTAATAGAGATGGGTTTCTCCACGTTGGTCAGGCTGGCCTTGAACTCCTGACCTCAGGAGATCCGCCCACCTCAGCCTCCCAAAGTGCCAGGATTATAGGCATGAACCACTGAGCCCAGCCTGAATTGAACTTTCTTAAGGAGTAGGATATTTGCATGGTCTTAAAGTGTCTCTGCAAAGATTATTAGTTGCAAGGGAAATAATCTATTTAATATTTGGGAAAGTAGAAGCATTTTGATTAGGGGATCAACATTCTCATCACCAGTAGAGAACAGGTAAGTACCGTGGGCCTCCAAGTGATACGCTTAAGTAGCATAAAAGACAAAGAAAGGGCCGAGTGTGGTGGCTCATGCCTATAGTCCCAGCCCTTTGGGAGGCCAAGATGGGCAGATGGCTTGAGCCCAAGGGTTTGAGACCAGCCTGGGCAACATGGTGAAACTCCATCTCTACAAAAAATAGCTGGCAGGTTGGTACAGTGGTGCTATCCTTGTTCACGGCAACCTCTGCCTCCTGAGTTCAAGTGATTTCCCGGCCTCAGCCACCCGAGTAGCTGGGACTATAGGCGTGCACCACCATGCCCAGCTAATGTTTGTATTTTTAGTAGAGACAGGATTTAAGCATGTTGGCCAGGATGGTCTCGATCTCTGACCTTGTGATCCCGCCTCAGCCTCCCAAAGTGCTGGGATTACAGGTGTGAGCCACCGTGCCTATTTTCTTTTTTTAAGACAGAGTCTCTCTGTCTTCAGTTCTTACTCTTTCTTCCAAAAGATTACTGTTCCATATCCTGACTGGGTGATGTTACATGTCTATATACATTTATCAAAATGAATTGAATTCTATCCTTAAAATGTAGGCACATTAGTCATGCAAATTATCTCCATTGAAAAATAAAACATAGATAAGTCTATAGTGATTATATATTACATTTTCTAATATATATTCTTCTTTTTCTATGTTTAGTTGAAACTAATTTCAAACTCACAGAAAAGTCGCAAGAATAAGAATATAGCACAAAGAATATCATATGCTCTGTCTCCAGTTTCCTATATTTATGTCACCCCTGTATTTTAGATCTGTGTTTTGTTTCATCTGTACAATGTAGCTTCCTCCAAAGTGTCTTTCTATCATGTTAGACGCCACCTTCAGACTAATTTTACCATGCCACTCCCCACCTAGAAAACCTTCCCTGGATCCCCACTATCTACCGAATAAAATCCAAACCCTGTGTCCTCACACTGAAGATCTACTCCACGTTTCTTACTCTTTCTTCTGAAAGATTACTGTTTTTGAACTCCAACAGAAATGAAGCTTCCCATGGGCCTTAGTAAGGCATGTACTTCCTGCCTCTGTGCCTTCACACGTGCAGGTCCCTTAGCCCAGAAAATCCTTTTCTCCCTCTCTCCCTGTTGAATCTCACCTTTCCTAGAGACCCTGCCCAAATGCCATCTTTGCCAGATGCCCTAACCAAATGAGGCAAGATGAAAGGTCATGCTTACCGGCACTTTTGTTTTAAATTCGTTTCGATAGTATTTAATGCCAATGTCAGTGAATGTCCTCTGGATAAAGCGAGATGGACGAAGGATGAATATGAGCTGTAAGTTTCCTGGAAATGCCACCTGCGAGCATCAATGAAAAGTGTCAGGAAAGAGAGAAAATGTCACATCCATTACCAGGATCTACTTTGGTCTCCCTCACCCAAGATCACAGAAAGAGAAGTTAAAATGGGTGCCATGGTTGTAAATTTCACCAGATTTCAGGGCTGAAAGAGACCTCAGAGGTCAGATAATCCTAACCCCTCCTGAAAAACCAAAGAAAACCAAGCAAGGAAAAATGTTTTCTGATTATAAAAATAATTCATATTACTTATAGAAGAGTTGGGAAATTAATAAAAGTATATATCAGAAAGTGAAAACTCACTCCTGGGTTTTCATTGCTATACTTAGTATTTCCATCTATTTACTTATAGAATGTAAACAGAATGTTTTCTCTGTTTAAATATCTGTCTCAAGGTCAAGCTCATATTATTAAAATATTTTGTAACCTGCCTTTTCACTTATTATACCGTAGACTTTTGTTCCTGTTAATAAATTCTTTGAAAATATTATTTTTTAACCAATCCCTTGTTGTTAATATTCTGGCTTTTTGACAACTTTGCTGCTGTAATACTGAAATGAACACTAGCCACATCTTGGAATATTTTCTTAGGCTATGTTTATAGAATAATTACTGAATCAAAGAGTCAGTATTTTAAGTATTCTTGACGTATATTATGGCTAAGTTGCTTTCAGAAAGTGTTGCCCTCATCTCAAGGCAGGGTTCTGAGAAATGAGATAGTCCAAATTCATGTAATTGCTTAGGGGCAAACTTAGGAACCCAGGTCTGCGTGGGAATTGCCACAGCTTTCCGTTCTTCTAGGGTTCCCCAAAGCAACCTCCTACGGGGCTTTCTTTTTTTTTTTCTCTGATCAGGTCTTTACTCCAGACTATTTTGATTCATTAGGACTGGGATGAAATCTAGGCATTTTCATGAGCACGTGAAGAGATTCTAGCAGGTGGCCAGATCTGGGGATCCCCCGACTATAGCATGTTTTACATAAGAAGTGATCAATGTAATTCTGGGACACATTAGGGTCAGACATTAGATTACTCATGTATTATGTATAGACCCTGGAAAACCAGAACACTCTAGAGGCCAGACCCCTGGAATAGTGACGGGCATCAACCGTGGCTGCAGTCATCCCAAAGAAATCCCATATCCAAAACTAAACTAAAGGGAGGAAAGAGTTGCTACCGCAGTGAAAGGACTCCCTTCCTCATCTTCAAACGCCAGCTCCTAACTGAAGAACCTTGCACGGTGTTGTGCCAAGACAGAAGGTCTTAGCTGAGACGTGATCTGTGTGTTTGGATGAGGCTCCAGAGCAACCTGAGAGGGACTCGGCGTGTGTGCATGTTTGCACGTGTGAGTCCTTCTGGAAGCAGGTTTAGGTGAGGTTGCAAATGTGCCTCTCGTGTCCTGCCTCCTGCTCAAGGTCTCCCACTCTACCACATCCATCCTCTTTAGCCAGTCCCAACTGCCCCAGAGAAACTATGCTCAGGTAAAAATGCTGACTTAGCTGGCCCTAAGGTGTCTCTGCTTGTGGCGGAGTTCACAAGTCTGAGGTCCCTACAGAGGAAGGACACATCTACTTGTTGAAAGACAAAAAGCAGGGATCAAAATCAGACTATAAGGAAAAGGAGGCCAATCCAAGGTGATATAATTTAATGCCGAATGCAAGCACACCTCCCACCATGCTACTTAAATATCATTGTGTCTGGTTTTGCCATTGTCTATCTAATAGAAGAAATAATTTGGCCAGGCACAGTGGCTCACGCCTGTAATCCCAGCACTTTGGTGGCCAAGGCGGGTGGATCACTTGAGGTCAGGAGTTTGAGACTAGCCTGGCCAACATGGTGAAACCCAATCTCTACTAAAAATACAAAAATCAGCTGAAGTGGTGCATGCCTGTAATCCCAGCTACTTGGGAGGCTGAGGCATGAGAGTCACTTGAACCTGGGAGGCGGAGGTTGCAGTTAGCTGAGCCACTGCACTCCAGCCTGGGCAACAGAGTGAGACTATGTCTCAATAATAATAATAATAATAATAATAACAACAATAATAATTTGAATACTGAAATAAAGACCGTCTTAAACTGAATCGCCCCCAAAGCAAATCCTCAGACAAGGATTTAAGTCCAAGCAGTTTGTCGGGGAAGTGATTCCAGGAAGCATGAATGAGGGAGTGGAGGGAAGACAATGAATAGAGAGCCAGCGTGTCAGTGAGGGGGTTACTGTGCAGGCTGAGGGGGCGGAGACTCTCTGGGGTACAGTGTGGAACACACCTCAGAACTGCACCAGTGCAGGTATGGAATCTGGGGTGTTTATCTAACAAATCCTACAACTCAGTGGTCACGGGTTACCCCCGGGACATTCACTTCCCAGCACTCCCCACCTGCCCCTCTCCAGTGAGCAGAGAAGTCAGTAAGGCAGAGAGCCTTAGGAAGTCTTTGACATGCTCAGAATTGTTTGCAGGTGACCTGCAGATGGCAGAGGAGATAGGGATGTTACATAACAGCACCTGTTACAAAGATCTTCCCAAAATTTGACATAAAAATAACTGCCTTGGCTGGGCGTGGTGGCTCATGCCTGTAATCCCAGCACTTTGGGAGGCAAAGGTGGGAGGATCACCTAAGGTTGGGAGTTTGAGACCAGCCTGACCAACATGGAGAAACCCTGTCTCTACTAAAAATACAAAATGAGCCGGGCATGGTGGTGCATGCCTGTCATCCCAGCTACTCGGAAGGCTGAGACAGGAGAATCGCTTGAACCCGGGAGGTGGAGGTTGCAGTGAGCAGAGATCGTGCCACTGCACTCAGCCTGGGAGATGAGAGCGAAACTCTGTCTCAAAATAATAGTAATCATAATTGCCTTTTCCCCAGGACTTTGATATGAAATAAGTGACCAGACAATTTAAGTGACTTTTATAATAATAGCACAGAAATAAATATTTACAGCTATTCGTGTCAAGGACGCCTTTACGGAGCTCCACTTGTCTCTTCGTCTGTCGATAACGACAATGAATCCAATGCTGGCAGCCTCCACACTGCAAAGAAGGGTGGTCAGTGTCAGAGATCAGGTGTGACCCACACGCTCCACGGGGCTCCCACAGCAGAATACGCCCTGCAGCTTCCACAGCACTCCAGCCTCACCTTGTAAACACCCTACACAGCACAATCAACTCCCTCTCCCAGACTGAGCCTGGGAATCCTCACACAATAGATAGTGTCCTCAGACCCTCTCAAGGACTCCCTTTCTGGCTGGTCAATGCATGAAACACCCAAGGAATACATGTGTTCAAGCCCAAAGGAATATGCACATATCAGGTGAGCCTCACATGTCCCCAGTGTAAGCGGAGGACCTCAAGACTGAGCTCTGCCATCCTTCCACTCCCAAAGCAGACATTCATGGAGCTATCAATACAGTAAAGAGCTCAGCTGTCAATCCTGGAGGTGTTGGAGATAATGCACGTCAGGGGAAAAACGACCCCAGGCAGTGCCTGGCTATAAATAGGCCAACAGACCACATTCTTGAGAAGACATCACTGTCACGAAGAGCAAAAGGGTGCTGTTTGCTCCCCTCTCAGGTCCTCATGAAACTCGCAGGATCCTTCTAAAGTAGAATTCTAAAAGTGAAAAAACATTTTTCTTCTCTTCTTTGGGAAGAAGCGTGGTACAGGGGAAAGAGCAAGGGCTTTAGAGGCTGGTTCAAACCCCAGTGTCGCCACTTCCTACAACTGACACTCAGGAGTTCACCTGACTCCTCTAAAATTCAGTCGTCAAGGGGGCCGCAGTGGCTCCGGCCAGATGTCTTGGCGCTTGAGGAGGCAAGGCCATGAGTTCGAGGCAAGGCCATGAGTTCAAGTCCAACCTGAGCAACTTTACAAGCTCTCATTGATTAACAAAAAAAAATAATAATAAATAAATAAATAATAAAATTCAGTCGTCTGCTCTGTAAAATGAGAAAAATATGACCAGTCATGAGATGGTTAAAAGCACCAATTCTGGAACCAACCTGACTAGATTTGAATTCCGAATTCTATTTATATATTGTGTATGCTTTTGGGGGTCAGAGGGGTAGTTACCTAACTCCTATAGTTTCTTGGACTATTTGTTTGTAAAGCAAAAGTTATAAAACAGTACCTATCTATGAGGTCGATGTAAGAATTAAATGTGCATGTGTATGTACATATATGTAAAATGCTCAGAACAATACATATACACAAACACTGTCTTGAGTATTTTATGTTTGTATATATATGTACATGCACACACACATGCACAAACATGCATGCACGTACAAATATATGCACACATACATGTGCACACATGTACATGAGTACATATATGTGCCTGTGTGTGTGCATGTTCCTGTGTGCATATACATGCATATGTACACATGTACATATATGTTTGCACAAACATGTAAAATGCTCAGAACAATGCCAGGTACTTGGTAATATTGTTTAAGTACTATTATTCTTTCTTTTCTCCACTTCTATTATTGTGTCTTATGTGCTTGTCACAAAGATTAAAAGAGATATAGTACATGAAAAGTGGTTGGCCTATTATAAACCTTCAGTAACTCTCCAATATTGGGTAAAACGTGGACTTGACCCTAAAAATGTGTGTATATGTGAATGAGACAGAAGGTCTAAGCAAAACCTGCAAGAAAACATAAGTAGCTAAGCTCAGGTAAGCATCAGTGGGTTAATCGATTCTCACAGCCCCATACTGACCCAAGTTATCTTGCTGGGGAAATTTTCCAGGACAGCACAAGGAGTGTTCTAACTAGGTGGAAGAGGCTGAGACGGGAGATTATGAATGCAAAGGTAGCCAGGATTTGTAGGGGCAGTTGTCAAACAACCAGTGAAAACAGACATCATCTTCAGAAGAACATCATTAAAAAATAAGGGGCCAGGGACGGTGGCTCACACCTATAATCCCAGCACTTTGGGAGGCCGAGGCAGCTGAATTATGAGGTCAAGAGATCGAGACCATCCTGGTCAACATGGTGAAACTCCGTCTCTACTAAAAATACAAAAATTAGCTGGGCATGGTGGCACATGCCTGTAATCCCAACTACTCGGGAGGCTGAGGCAGAAGAATTGCTTGAACCCTGGAGGCAGAGGTTGCAGTGACACAAGATCACGCCATTGCACTCCCAACTCGGTAACAGGAGCAAAACTCTGTCTCAAAAATAAATAAATAAATAAAAAGACTGACTTTTCAGTACAAACTATGGAAGCTGCTATTCAATGGACTGATATCTTTAGGAAAAAACTCCATTTAAAATTCCATACCCACTGAAAATTCATTTTAAAATGAAAGTAAAACAAAGACATTTCCAGACAACTAGAGGTAAGAGAATTTATTATCATTAGACATACACTTAAAGAAATGGAGGTTTAGCTGCTGTTTTGAAGACGTTCACTCTTATCAAAAACAAACAAAACACTGGTGGATTTAAAAGCTCATATTTCTCCTTAAATATGAGAGAACTCTGAAGACAAAGAAATATAAATGAACAAATTCCAGAGAGACTCCATAGAGAGTCCATAAAGACCTTCCACAGAGAGCAAACACTAGAGGTGACATTTATGTATAGTGCTGATTGCCTATTCTGGGAATAGGCAGGCAAATGAATTAATCTGAAGGGAAATAATCTAACATGATAACTTGAATCTGGAAGAAGGAATGAACAGTCATGTAAATGTTAAATATGTGGATAAATATTATCAACTATGTTTTTTATTTCACTGAAACCTAACTAATCAAAGTAAAAATAATGAAGTATTATTATAAAATAAACTATGTCACAACAATAGCATTAAGAATTGAATGGAGTAAGTAAAATTACTTTTACTTACTATTAGCCAGCCACAGTGGCTCACACCTGTAATCCCAGCACCTTAGGAGGACAAGGCAGGAGGATCGCTTGAGCTCAGAAGTTCAAGACCAGCCTGAGCAATGTAGCAAGACAATATCGCTACTAAAAATTTTAAAAATTAGCTGAGCATGGCGGCGTGTGCCTGCAGTCTCAGCTCCTCAGTAGGTTGTTGCAGGAGGATTGCTTGAGCCCAGGAGACAGATTGGGCTCAAAAAAAAAAAAAAAAAAAGAAACTATTAAAACTAGTATTAGATGAAATTAAACTGTACTATTTATATTGTATAGAAAGTGGTATAAAATAAATCCCAGGTAGATGTGCTAATTTAAAAACACATACTGTAACATTAGGAAATAATTGCTAAAAACTTAATAAAGATAGATAAAATACTGAAAATATTTGAATAATTCAAAAGAAGGTAGAAAAGGAGAAATAAAAGAACAAGTCATAGATGGGCAGATTAAAACTCAACCATCTTAATAATCACATTAATTGGAAATAAACTGTAACATGCCATTTAAAAGGCAAACAGCCACTGCAAAAACATACCAAAATGTAAAGACCATGGACACTATGAAGAAACAGCACCAACTAATGCACAAAATAACCAGCTAGTATCAGGATGACAGGATTTAATGACAGGATTAAATTCACACATAACAAAATAAACCTTAAATGTAAATGGGCTAAATGCCCCAATCAAAAGACACAGACTGGTAAGTTGGATAAAGAGTCAAGACTCATCAGTGTGCTATATCCAGGAGACCCATCTCACGAGCAAAGACACACGTCGGCTCAAAATAAAAGGATGGAGGAATATTTACCAAGAAAATGGAAAGAAAAAAAAGCAGAGGTTGCCATCTTAGTCTCTGATAAAATAGACTTTAAACTAACAAAGATCAAAAAAGACAAAGAAGGGCGTTACATAATGGTAAAGGGATCAATGCAACAAGAAGAGCTAACTATCCTAAATACATATGCACCCAATACAGCAGCACCCAGATGCATAAAGCAAGTTCTTAGAGACCTACAAAGAGACTTAGACTCCCACATAATAATACTGGGAGACTTTAACACACCACTGTCAGTATTAGATGGAGACAGAAAATTAACAAGGATATTCAGGACCTGAACTCAGCTCCAGACCAAGGGAACCTAACAGACCTCTACAGAACTCTCCACCCCAAATCAACAGAATATATATTCTTCTCTGCATCACATTGTATTTATTCTAAAATTGATCACATAATTGGAAGTAATCACTCCTCAGCAAATGCAAAAGAACAGAAATCATAACAGTCTCTCAGACCATGTGAAATCAAATTAGAACTCAGGATTAAGAAACTCACTCAAAACCACACAACTACATGGAAACTGAACAACCTGCTCCCGATTAACGAATGGGTAAATAATGAAATTAAGGCAGAAATAAATAAGTTATTTGAAACCAATGAGAAGAAAGACACAACGTACCAGAGTCTCTGGGACACAGCCATAGCAGTGTTTAGAGGGACGTTTATAGCACTAAATGCCCACATTTAGAGAGCAGGAAAGATCTAAAATCAACACCCTAACATCACAATTAAAAGAACTAGAGAAGCAAGAGCAAACAAATTCAAAAGCTAGCAGAGGACAAGAAAGTACGAAGTTAAGAGCAGAACTGAAGAACAGAGAGACACGAAAAACCCTTAAAAAAAAAAATCAATGGATCCAGGAGCTGTTTTTTTGAAAAGATTAACAAAATAGACTGCTAGCCAGACTAATGAAGAAGAAAAGAGAGAAGAATCAAATAGACAGAATAAAAAATGATGAAGGGGATATCACCGCTGATCCCACAGAAATAGAAACTACCATCAGAGAATACTATAAACACCTCTATGTAAATAAACTAGAAAATCTAGAAGAAATGAATAAATTCCTGGTCGCAAACACCCTCCCAAGACTAAACCAGGAAGAAGTCAAACGCCTGAGTAGACCAATAACAAGCTCCGAAACTGAGGCAGTAATTAATAATCTACTACATTAAAAAAAAAAAGGCCAGGACCAGACAGATACATAGCCAAATTCTACCAGAGGTACAAACAGGAGCTGGTACCATTCCTTCTAAAACTATTCCGAACAACAGAAAAAGAGGGAATCTTCCATAACTCATTTTATGA